ACTAAATTAGGTAACTTGGTATGCTTGTACCGTTAGTTCCAGAAGGCGCAGCGCATGATACTTTCATATGCCACATATCATGCAGCCATACCACCTTAGGGGTTACCCTGGCCACTCCGTTTCTGTTTGTAATGCACTCACAATGGTTGTGGAAGTGGTATTTCACAATGGTATGCACTGTACACCTGGTTAAAGAAGTGTCCTGTTCTAGTTTTATAACTAAGCAAGCATGAACATGGGTATTGCGGGGGAGCAAATTCACTACGAAATAATACTCATCCCAAGAAGTGTGTACGCTGGTGGCTCTTGCCCCGAAATTCACGTCGTCTATGAAAAAAAGTGTGCAGAAATGTAAATAAAGCCAGCCATTTTTATTCCTAGCATCATCTGTATTATAGTGGAATAATGTACAATGTGCAGAAACCTCTTCAAAGGGTGAATGAGCATGAAAACATGACAATTAATCCGTGTGTTGTCGGGGATGCCGCAATTTTTTCTTACCAATTGACGTCCTCGCCTTTTCTGCAAATGCTTTCTTGCCACTCCTGGTCATGCGCGTTCTTACAAGCCCTTACTCGTATTTCTGGGGGAGACATTCTATAGTTCTTTTCAACATCGAGGCGCTGTTTGCAGTTAAAAATGGGGCTGGCAGCTGCTTACTGGTTATTAGAAGGGCACTATAGAGAAAAATTATTTTTCGTGAATTGATAAAGTACGCTTTCACAATGGCGAAAACACCGTTTTTACCGCGATACTTATGGCATTAGAGCTCTCAACGTGCAGTTTATCAGTCCTGACCAAGTTATTGTTTCCCTTTACTACGACCCAAGCTCTTCGACAGTCCGCCTTCTGCCCTTACAGTAGTGGCTGCTAATTATTTTAGCTTTCATAAAGTGTGCGCCATGTTGAATGTGTAGAAGTTGTCTATTGTTACATGATCGTGACTCTGGCCGTAATACTTTATTTACATGTTTTGTGCAGACTAACTTTCTTCGCAATATGCATGAAGTGAGCCGTCAGTCAACGATACCGAGGAAAGCTGAAGGGAATGCTACTTTTTCATAGATTGATGGGGCGTGTGATAGAAAGTTATAGTGCAATTATTTGAGAGGATGTGAGTTGGTATTCCACTTACTGGCAGCATGTCATTGTTTACTGCTTTCTAATTAGTTCCGTGCACCCATAATATCATGACACTGATAGTTTGTCATTGTGGCAATCACAAAATATTTGAAGCGTGAAAAAATTTTATAAGGTTCACATAAAAATTCAAAAGTTTGACGCTCTTAGGCTCTTTGATGCAGTGTCATGAAAGCGCATCTCGTTTACCGTTTTGGTGGTCAGAATACACGACACTACGGATCATCGCTCACATGCATGGCCACGTACTGTTAAAATTGGGGAGGTTATATGTATTTGCAATGTGTTAATTCTTTCTTGACCTTTTTCGATAATCTTACTTTGATGCTGTGGCCACGCCACACAATCATATGCGCAAAATCTCTGCATGTGCCCCAAATCTCTCAAATGAGGTCGATGTGTTCATGTGCTGTCAAGTGTATAATATGTAACTTCCCTGTTGCGAACAAGTCACCATTGTTTGCCTCGGTGAATTTTAGGGGCGAATCTTCTTATGATATTGGGCAATCTCGCGTCCTTCTGGCGGATATACAGACGGACGGACGGACGGACGGACGGATGAATGGACGGACAAACGGACAGACGGACGGATGGATGAAGGCCGCTTCGCCCCACTCATCATCATTCACTTCGTGGATATGCTGTGACTTTTATTTTTATTTTACAGCCGTGTATGTCTGTATATTGACCGAAAATTCACCCCCTGGGCATGCATGCGCGCACGGAGAAGCCTTAGATAAATGATATGCTACAATTATCATTAGCTGTGCATAGTGGCCCCAAAATGAGTAGCTATTGAGCATTTACGATTGCGTGACGAGTGACATCAATGTAGAATTATGTACATTTCTCACAATATAGCTTGTTTTATCCAATACGTCAGCCCAAATATCGCTTGTTCGCATGTGATCTGTCATGCGGCATTGTCTGGAGAGTTGAGCATTCTACGTTTTAGATATTTTTATTCTAATTCATAGCGAACAAGTAGCAGCCACAAAAACAGCGGAGCCAAAAGAAGAAAACGGCGTGCCCATACTGGCTGACACTCGCCGTCCAGCTAACGAATAAACTTTTCTTACAGACCCCGTAACAATATATTTGCTTTCGTGCATCTATTCAAAGCGTTTGATTATCAGGTGCATCACAGTAGAACAGCCTTCCAGTATCCATTCCATAGGACGGTATGTAAAGATAACACAAGTGAGTAAGGGTGGAAACACTACACCCTTTAAAATTGCATGATGTGCAAGCTTCCTTGAGGGTGCTGACATATCCACCTTTTACTATACGTCCCGCTTTCAAGCGCCCGAAAATGTAAAAGGTGTTCGACTGGAGCCAAGCTGAGCTACACTCTTATAGAGGAGAAATTGCTTTGTGTGTACATTCAAGCAGTCTCACGTCTGCTTATAATCAAGAACTTACTGAGCAGAGAGAAGTGCGAAAGAAATGGTAAAGTTGAAGGAGTTTTACCTGTACAATGATGCACATGCGGACAAAGACGGCATCTTTGCATTTTGCCTCTACTAATGTTTTTAGCTGAACAGTAAGCAGGGTTCATGAACAATTTGTTTGTCTTTTCTGTCTGATATTATAGGTTTGTTTTTTATAAGGGCGACTCGATTGTTGAAATAGAACAAGACAATATCCGTGTGAGGTACTAATAAAATTTTCTTTTTTACTTGAAAGGCCATCAAGTATGAAATGTCATATATAACATCGTTCAAGTGACAACTGCAGCCTCTCACGGAGTGGCACGGAACTTTAGTGGCACAATTTTCAGTGACTGTGCCATGTAGATCCGGGTGAATCAGAGCGATGACCAACGTTTTATTGATTTTAAGGGCGTTGGTTGATTGCGGGTTATTGTCACACACCTGCAACTTTAAGAAACGCCACAAGAATTCACAGGTCTAGCGGAGTCAACTCGCACAATCTTTGTGAGTAATTCAAATCAGCACTGCGAGAGTTGCCATGTATACGGCAAAATTGTTTATCTAGAATGTCGGTAATAACGTACTCAGTATGAAAAGAATTAGCATCGTCTGCTGAAGCTTCATGTCTGCATTCACATTGTTTCATTTCGGTAAAAATAATGTTTTATAGTTGAGACAGCTCTGTGGCACTCACTGCTCACGCGTACAACCTCACGAACGTCGTTTTCAAAAAGTTATGTAAGAACCAGTGACGGCGCTGACCCGAAATCCGCACCAAATCATAAATACTTTGTGGATGCATTGCGTCCTAGTAGACCCATAGTGTGGCTTGACGTTATCCCACATGCGAGAAAAGTGCTTTTTCATTTATCCGAATAAGCGCCTCATCCTTGAAGATGATTTTTTGTGTGAAAAACTGAGGTATTTTTCTTAATGGTTGTGAAATCCACTCAGCAAAAACGGCTTTTCGTGTGCTCGCGAAGGCTGAGCTCCTGTGTCAGAACTTTTTACGATTGAAGGCTGAAGTGGTGAGGTAATATTCATTGTATTAAAAGTAGAATTCTTGCGCACGGCAGGGAATCGACTGTCTCAGATTCTCCTGCGTACCTTCACTGACCCCAGCAATGTTGTCGGCCAGTTTCGCGTTCCTTTGATGTACGGGTGTTGGCTGATTGCTTGCAGAGCAAGCTTCTTCTCATTCGGCCACTAAACATTGGTGAGTCCACTTTGCAAGGTCATGATATGTGCCCTAAATTGAGCCCAACATGTCCTACACGTTTGTCCTGAATAACAGTCATGTTGATAATAAGGTTTTATCCTTTAGACTTGCTGTTCAACCGGGCTGTTCAAGGACTTGAACACTTTTTTTTATTTTTATTCATCTGAAACCCCGCACTGCCCTGCCACGCTGGTCTAGTGGCTAAGGTACTCGGCTGCTGACTCGCAGGTCACGGGATCGAATCCCGGCTGCAGCAGCTGCATTTCCGATGGAGGCGGAAATGTTGTAGGCCCGTGTGCACAGGTTTGAGTGCACGTTAAAGAACCCCAGGTAGTCAAAATTTCCGGAGCCCTCCACTATGGCGTCTCTCATAATCAGATCTTGGTTTTGGGACGTTAAACCCCACAAATCAATCAATCAATCAATAAATCAATCTGAAACCCCGCAGCGCCCGAAGGTGTTATAGTGGGAAGATTATGTCAATAGATGAAGCACATCTTCGGTCTCACATATAGTACAACTTTGTTCACACATAAATAAGTCTTAGTTCATATTACAGCATTTAGTGAAATGAATCTTTGTTCCCAATATGTACTCGCCTTTCACTTAGCTTACTACACTCTTTAATGGTTTTAGGAATAAATGAATCGCCTACATGTTCTTTTTAGCTTACTGCACTCTTTAATGGTTTTAGGAATAAATGAAATTGCCTACATGTTCTTTTAGCTGGTTATCACAGGATTTTGCAGCTATAATCAAATTATTTTGAAGTGTAATGAGGTTCGTGTAGGTAAATTTCTGCATTAATTCCAGATGAAATATTGTTGAATAAATAAAGTAATTTTATTCTCTGTCTATGACGGTAGTCAGAAAGACACCACCCTATAGCTCATCCTTTATTGCAGTGCAGCTATCCCTCTTACCGTACCGTCCCAAGACGAGCCTGGCAGCACGATTTTGTATTTGTTCAAAAGCAACAACGAAGATTGCTTCGGCGGGATCCCACACGACAGAACCATGTTCTAAGATAGGTATGATAGAAGCAGTGTATGCCATAAGTTTTAAATTCACATGCGAATATCGCAGGTTTCATTGAATGAAATTTAAAGCCACGAACTTTGGCTATGAGTGTGTCCACCTGAGGCCTCCAAGACCATTCAGGTGAAAGTCCAGAATCGTAACAAGACGAGGTGTATCGCAGCGCTTACCCTCGCCAGAAGCCGCCGCTCGGAGTTCAGCCTTTTGCTGCAGTCTCGAAAGATGCTGTCCGTCACCGAAGCTTTGCCCTGCACGAGTTTACAGACAATCCAGTGGAAGCTGTTCTCTACCCAAAGCAGCAAAACCATAACAGCGACATTTCGCCGTCCGCCACTCCACTTAACTTTATATCCCTATACATCGAAAGTAGGATGGAAGCTCAGTTTGGTGTACGAGTTTTTTTTTAATCAGGAATGAGTATCTCCAACAAGCTGGCCGACGTTTCGATAGGTGCACATATCTTCGTCAAAAAACGGCCGTATCATCATGATGCACCTTCGGCGAAGAAGGGTCCACATCTCAAAATGTCGACCAGCCTGCATATTCAGAACTTTTACTTCAGCGTTTGACATACCACCGGAGTAAAACAATGAACATAGTTAAATAAAAGAGATGGGGAGGGGTTCTGCACTGATGGAATACTTTAGAGTTCTGAAGGGACATATTATAGATGCATGAATGCCATCTGTTTGTTTTAGTGCCAGATCGCAAGCCCAGTGTCTGTTTTTTGTCTCGTTGTATGTAGCTATTTTTAAGAAGGTAAAAAGAATACAGCTTGTTTATTTAGTGTAGTTTGTTTCAGAAAGAACTACGTGTATAACGATCATAATATGTTTCTGAAAAATGCTTTGTATTTAGGTTTTCTTCTATGTGGACAGTTAGAATTTAGTTAAGTCGTATGTAAATAAGTGTCCGATTTGCAATTCATTTCTTTATTCTGAATGCCCTATTTTAGAACGGTACCTAAGTGTTCATTGATCGTTCCTGCCATTCTTACCGCTGAGACTATTTCTCTATTTTTTGTACTTTTGGCAGCGAAGGTGTTTGACAAATCGTTCATTGCTCGCGCTGCACCAAAAAAAAAACTATCTTTATCATAAATGGTATGTGCTTAAATTGGGCAAATACCACGTCACGCAACTTGCGCTAAAAAGAAGGAAGCCTGTTAGCACAACGGCAGTGAACGATGGCGCTAAGTCGGAAAATCCGAGTACGACAACATACTAGGGAACGGCAACGGCTGCAGCGAGAAAGCTCCGAAGCGATGGAAAGTCAGAGCCAACGACGATGGGACCGTGTCGCGTCTGTGACTCTCTGTGGTTTAACTCGAATGTTTCTGCGCTGAAAATCACCGTACAAGCGACATATACTATCACCAAACTTGAGCATAGCGACGATCTATACAAGTAAGCTAAAAACAACCTGCATCACCCAGCTAAGACCTAGAAACCATCTACGAGCAACTAGATCAGTATTCAGAATGGTCAGCTCAAGCTGAACATTCAGAAAGGGCTTTTTATCACGGTCTCCTCTGTTTGAATTTGGGACTTGCCTCGCCTAAAATAAACATCGCACTAAATAATGAAACTCCTCTAATTTCATAGCTGATTTTCTGAATTGGTATAGCAACCTTCCGTTTGTTATGTTTTTCTCCTGTCACTATGCATTTGCCGTTCTAGTGCTGTCCCTTCCTCATAGTATTTACGCATGTCTCGCTTCCTAACGAAGTCTTGCTTTTAAACTACGCGTTTTAGGCACTCTGGCTTAGCTTGAAATAGAAAACCGTTCCCTTCCAGCTATCCGAAAAAAACTCTTCTTTCTTCATTTCCTAATGATACCATTGGTAGTTACTCAAAGCCGAGCCATTTCCCTCAATTTTGTACTCAATAAATGTTCTCCGCATGCTTGACTTCGTGCTTGACGCTCTATGCTACCCCATCTCTTACAATCCCGGCCACATACTTGCTTTTGAGTCTCTTAATTCATTTTCTTTGCTGCTTGCCAATGCAATTTCTAAACGAATACCTGCGTCTTTATGAAGAAACAGAACAACTTATACCACTTTGTACTCTACAGCGGCACAGCTGTATGCAGCTGTCCCTCTAAAGTTGGCACGCGAGTCTCACGCCTGACAAAAAACCAAGGCAATTTAATGACCTAACACTGCTATCTTTCATACTCCTTAGTCTATGTCCATACCAAACTTCGCTGTGGGCCTCTCTGTTCTCTAATCAAACCGAAGCCAGTTATATTGTAGTTATAATTCTTCATGTGGTTCGCTACCTGTGTGCGCACAGTGCAACGCTCGATTTCAGTAACTACTACACAATAAGGGTCAATACCTCGTCGGCAGTTGGAAAACACTTGCTCGGCTGACACGTTTCAAATTGCCACTTTGTCTTTGCACAATATAAAACACTCACCAAGTCGTTGATTCCGATGCCGGAAAGTTTGCTTCGCGTGAGGCCCATGATCTCCTCCTTGAGCGCGTCGATGAGGTTCGGTGTGCTGTGCACAGCCGACTTCATCCGCTCCGAGCGCCCCTCGTTGTTGGCCGCTTGTCGCGTCACATGTCTGCTGGTGCATGCACAACACACAAACAATTAATGCCACGATGCGGCTGAAACAGGTGGCATCGCAATGTCCTGTCAGCTATTTGGGGGGTTGACCGTACTTTAAGTCACTATTTCGAGCAGGACAGCGCCAGGCTTTTGTCCATGCGGCCACCGCGAAAGTATCTTTCAAGGTGGGATGGAGGTGTCGAGGGCACCACTTGTCAAAGCTACACTCTATAGACATGGTAACAGATAGATGCGATTTTGAGCACCTAGCAGGAGTTTAGGATGACTGCCAGTTGGGCGTGTTGGTAAAGGTTCATGGTGAAACAAGCGCAAAAATACACACACTCAGAGAGGGCACAGACTAGCACTTACTAGCCACTGCAAATTTTATTTCGAAGCGAACACTAATAAATACATCACACGAATGTACGTCATTTCCAACTTCCCCTGTCATCAACAATGTGATATAACAAAATATGCACGTGCCCACAACCGGAAACAAACACGTGTCAAGAACTAAGAAAAGAAAACGTAAAATAGAAAAAAACAAAAAACAAAAACAAAAACAAAAAAACGTAACACCGAGAAAAACACTGGGTTCTGTGACGTCCAAAAAAGCAAATTCCGCATCTGTTAGTAGAACTGACGCTTGGCTGACGCAACTGTCCTCTCCTTTCCTTATTCTATACGCTTCCATTATTTCTCTCGTCATCCGCTTCTTGTGCCTGTCATTCGTGTGTCGGAAAATTTCGGTTGGCAGGTGCACTCCTTGCGTTTAGAAAAAGTAGTTAACGAATTTGAGTATTCGCTACTCTACTATGGGAGAGTACATCATATGTGATGAGGCCGCATCGACAAATTGAGCCTTGCAATGCATCGCTAAGTGTGAGTAAGGGGCCGCCTTTAGTGAACTCTCGTGTTCACGAAGGCGCACATTTATGCACCGACCCGTCTGACCAACGTATGCCTTTCCACATGTGAAAGGGGTTCCGTATACATCTTTTTTTGCACTCAACGTACCTCCTGCCATGCTTTATGCTACATCTGTTCGATTCTCCAGTTCCTTTCTTGTTGACTAGCCTTTCTACTGCTGGACAACTCTTCGATAATTTGTTTTCAGCTGAAAAAACAACCCACACGCCATACCTTAATGCAACTTTTTTCAACCCATGTGAAATATTGTGCAGATGCGGGATGACCACTGTCAGCTCTCTTTCACCCTCAACTAGTCCACTCTCTTCGCTCGTGCCAATGATTGCATTTTTTACTTCCCGGCGATTCTTCTAACATGCCAAAAAGATACATTCATCGTGGTAACCAGCTCCCCTCAAGCGCTTGATCTGCGCGGAAACACTCTCATTCATTGAGTGTACGCACAATTTAATGAGGGAGCTTTGATTCAAGAGGTTGCAATCCCATTCTTTACTATCTTCGAATGTGCCGAAGGATAGCTCAGCAATGGTTTTTCCGATCTAGGGTGATACATCCAACAGGTGTGAAAAGGATACAAATTAGAATTGAGGTCCAGAAACTGAATGCGTCGTTCCGTTTGCTTCTCAAAGATAAACTGTAAGCCACACCCGTCTTTCCTAAAAGCTGTAAAAACAGTCACAAACGTGCTCATACCCGGATCGTTTTTTACCAAAACAAGGTAGTCATCTACAAATCTAAACAGCTTCAGATCCATACCATCTAGCTCCTTACCTACTGATGTGCCAAGTTTGTTCAAAAAAACATTGCATAAGATCGGGGCGACACTAGGCCCAATGCAAATCCCATCCTTCTGGACGTACAGTTCTTCATTCCACCCCACTAGCGTGGAACTCAGATACATGGCTAAAATCTCCATAAAACCTTCTACAGACACACCACAGGCGTTACAAAAAGCCACTTCATCATTTTTTTCCGTGATGCACTCTTGTACGCTTTGTAGTAACGAACCATGCGGAACGGAATAATACAGATCGACGACATAAATACTGAAGGCATCAGAGACCCTTACATCATCTCCCTTTAAGTAGTCCACTACTTCCATGGAGTTGGAAACCAAAAACGGCTCACGAAACCGGAGCGTTTTCAAATGTTTTTGCAAAAATTTGGACACGAGACGCAGCCAGGTACCCCTTTCTGAGACAATGGTTCGGAACGGAAGGTTTTTCTTGTATGTTTTTACCGTAAAGAACGCTTCCAGCAACAAGCCTTTTTCGCCTTTGATGATGTTCATGAAAAGGCTGACCTTCTCCTCAACTTTGCGGAAATACTTTTCTATAGCAGCCTGGGCCTTCTCCAAATATAGTTTTTCTGGCAAAATCACAAAGTAACCCTCCTTATCTAAAACCACAATACGACTTCCACTAGCAGACAGGAACTTAATCACTAGTCCCATTTTCTTTGCCATGTGTGGTGTTACATTGCTAGACGAAAACACATTCACGCAATCAGTACTGCACCTCAGTTTTTCCTCGTCCTTCACACGGCTTGCCACGGACCCGGCCACTTCCACCTTCTCGGCACGGGAGAGAACTGGTTCCACACAGAACTTGGGTCCTTGTTGAAGAGGCCTTTTAATGATGGTCGGGCGAAGCCAGATCTCCTAGCATCATGACCTTTCCTTCCGTACTTGTGCGTCTTTCCTTCTTGGGTAAAATTTTTCGTGCCTGGTTCCACAAAGCCTCTGTGGCACTTTCCGACAGCCGTAGCCTCTCTCGGTAGTGTCGGTGTCCATTTCCACTCTGAGTGCGACAGGCCACTCGCAAGCAGTCTTTGAAGTACCGAAGCTGATGGTTCCATTCCGAGGACAGTTTTTTGCATAAACGTCTGCTGTTTCCACGAGTAGAAGCCAGTAACCCGCACAAAAGTTGCACATCCGGGGGGGTACAGTGATGCTCGGTTATAACAAGAAGCAATGCGAATCTTGCAAACGTAGAGAGCGATTAACGAGGGGATGGTGGCAGGGTTAGAATGGAAGGCGGTGTTAACACATGGAAAAGGGTCCTTTGTACTAGAAATTACATTTAGGATGACTGCCAGTTGGACATGTTGGTAAAGGTTCATGATGAAACAAGCGCAAAAATACACACACTCAGAGAGGACACAGACAAGCGCTTACTAGCAACTGAAAATTTTATTTCGAAGCGAACACTAATAAATACATCACACGCATGTACGTCATTCCCGACTTCCCCTGTCATCATCAACAACGTGATATAACAAAATATGCACGCGCCCACAACCGGAAACAAACACGTGTCAAGAACTAAGAAAAGAAAATGTGAAAAAACAAAAACAAAAAACAGAAAAACCTAAAGAAACAAAAAAACAGAAAACGTAACACAGAGAAAAACACTGGGTTATGTGACTAGATCGTTTTTCCTCGATCGGAAAAACCATTGCTGAGCTATCATTCGACACATTCGAAGATAGTAAAGAATGGGATCGCAACTTCTTGCATCAAAGCTGCCCTCATGAAATCGTGCGTACACTCAATGAATGAGACTGTTTCCACGCAGATCAAGCGCTTGAGGGGGCTGGTTACCAGGATGAATGTATCCTTTTGGCATGTGAGAAGAATCGTCGGGTGTCACAGGTCCCGTTAATTCGGGAGGCGATTGCCGGGCTAATTCCAAGGGCCGAAGTTTCGGCCCCCCGAACCGCACCACGAAAGCGTGGACAATTTAGAAGTGGTCCTATTTGGCACGCCAGCGGACGCTGGTTGTGGCCCAAAGAACAAGTCAGAGCCGAGAGTTGATAAACAAATTAAAATTATATTCTAAATTATGGCAGATCAAAACGATACACAAGTATGCACACTCGACAATAGTAGAATACAATATGTCACCAATCAACAACGTACTACACAGTACAATCAGCCACACTCGAAACAACGGACACAGACAACAATACGCACTACAATGCAGTCGCATGCATCGAACAACCAAGACACTTACAGACAAAAGAGTTAGAAAACTTATTCAGTCCAAAGTTCTTGGAACAAAAGTCTGAATGATACTCTTCCGAGAATCACTCACTCGAAGTCCAGCGTTGTTGTCGTTCCGCTGCCCCCGAAGTTTCTCTTCCAGGAAACCTCGCGTCTTCAATTGGCCGCTCTCCAGGCTCCAAACTTCTTCGCCGGAAACACGTCGGCTTCACACACGCAGCTGTTGCCACGCGTCTTCGCTCGATAGCGGTAGACACACACCCTTGCCTGTAGCTCGAGTCTTCACTCCTCAGGAGGAAATCCTCTTCTTCTCCTCCTTTGTCACGGAAGACAAAAGGCTTCGCCCACAAGGCGGAACACCCTACGCACTCTGGCGCATACCTTCTTCTTCTCCTACTTTGTCACTAAGGACAAAACGTTCACCGACAGACGCGGCGGAATACCCCACGCACACTGGCGCTAACTTCCTTCTTCTCCTGATCTCCCATCTCTGCTGCTCGGTTAAATACCTTCCGCGCGAGATTCCAGAAAATTCTCATCATTTTGTTGGCGCGATGCGCAGCGAAGGCTGGGGGAAATCGAGAGACGGTTCGACGGCCGTCCGCGACGGATGACGCAACCCGGCATCACCACGCCCCTTTCCATCGAGAACTTTCCAGGGCTTGCTCGGCCGCGATGCGAGGAGGTTCGTCGGCGAACCTACGCTTCCGAGAGGGGAGAGACGCGCGCCCGGGAAGTCTTTGGATGTTTGTTTTCTTTTTTTTATCGTTGACCTCGCGGCGTCTCTCCGTAGCTTCGTCACGAGAGTTTGGCGGCGCGCCCTTTTTTGAGCGCTTGTTTTGTGACATCGGGAAGTAAAAAATGCAATCATTGGCACAAGCGAAGAGAGGAGACAAGTTGAGGGTGAAAGAGAGCTGACAGTGGTCATCCCGTATCTGCACATTATTTCACATAGGTTGAAAAAAGTTGTATTAAGGTATGGCGTGCGGATTGTGTTTTTTTTTTCAGCTGAAAACAAATTATCAAACATTTGTCCAGCAGTAGAAAGGCTAGTCAACAAAAAAGGAAATGGAGAATCGAACAGATGTAGCATAAAGCGTGGCATGAGGTACGTGGAATGCAAAAAAATGTTGTATACAGAACTCCTTTCACATGTGGAAAGGAATGCGTTGGTCAGACGGGTCGATGCATAAATGTGTGCCTTCGTGAACATGAGAGTTCACTAAAGGGGGCCCCTTACTCACACTTAGCGATGCACTGCAAGGAGTGCACCTGCCAACCAAAATTTTCCGACACACAAATAATTGACAGGCACAAGAAGCGGACGACGAGAGAAATATTGGAAGCGTATAGAATAAGGAAAGGAGGGGACAGTTACCTCAGCCAAGCGTCAGTTCTACTAACAGATGCGGAATGCTTTTTTTTTTGGACGCCACATAACCCAGTCTTTTTCTCTGTGTTACGTTTTTTTTTTGTTTCTTTGTGTTTTGCTGTATTTTTTGTTTTTTTACAGTTTCTTTTCTTAGTTCTTGACACGTGTTTGTTTCTTGTTGTGGGCGCGTGCATATTATGTTATACCACGTTGTTGATGGTGACAGGGGAAGTCGGGAATGATGTACATGCGTGTGATAAGTTTATTAGTGTTCGCTTTCAAATAAAATTTTCAGTTGCTAGTAAGCGCTTGTCTGTGTCCTCTCTGATTGTTTGTATTTTTAGCAGGAGTTACCAAGTTTAAAGTTTACCGCAATGTAAACGTGGTAACATTTGCAATAGGTAAACAAAATTGCATCTATTCTTACCAGATTTAACGAGTAAGCACACCATACAGTGTTAGCTTTCTGGTGTGCAAGTTGCGGGTGGCAGGTTCAAGTTTTCGTAGAATGGCTGCTTTTTCCAACTCTATGCCCTGCCCCTGCATATATGAAGCCTCCTATGCGTACCAACGTTATTTTTAAACGCATATAGCCGATCTTGCACAGTGAGACAAATTATTTGGGGGTTGCTGCCAGTGCCGCCTCGCGCTTTTACCGTCTCCTATATTGCAGAACAAGGTGTGACTAAGTTTTTATTGCTGCTGCTATCGCTGTTTAGCTGATCACAAAAGTCAGAGACAATTAACCCTTCTGGCGCTAAGTGTTCATTGCACGATGGCTAAGTCGGCGCGGTATAACGTGTATTTTACTGTGCTTAGTTCTTCAAACTTAAGCAGCATTGCGTGTTTGCAAAATGGTTATTTTTCGTAATACGCAACACTTATTGTATTTACACACAATTCCCGGTGATCGCCCGTATTTTCACACAAACTCTCTTTTTCTAGCTTTGAAAACTAAATTCCGAAGGGCTTTATAAAAGTGGAATGACAAAGAGTCATAATCAATCCGGAAGGTTGTTTGGCATCAACATAAATATTACAGAAAGCAATGCAATAATTTTAATGATGAATGCACCACACATAGTAGGCAATTTCGGCGAAGGTACACTTATGTCGGGCCTCTAACGTTCCTATTTTTGCCTCATTTTTCGTTTATCTGTTTTACTAAGTTTATGCGTGTTCTTCCTCGTTTACGGTTGTTTTTATTTGGTCGCGCAATCTTCTTTCCAGAAGTAATTTGGCGAACTACGCCTAATGGTAGTAAACAGCTAGCCAACGCTAGGCTCCATAAACCCCGCTAGCCACAGTTTTTCAAGCCTTGCTGATTCTATGCTAAATGCATGCGGCACATTTCGTCGTACGTTTGTTATGTAATATTATTTTTTTATATATTTGGTCATGATCAAATTTTCTCGAGCAAGCATTACAAATCAATAACTGAAGACAGCGACATAACACGTACAGAACACATCACGTAAAACTTGTGCAAGAAATGCTGATCACGTCTAATTAAGTGGCTCATTGTCAAGTTTTGCTTATTTAGAGCGCTAACCGACCAACAAGGGCGTCTGACTAACTTTCAGTAACGCCAATTTATATTGTATTTTAATATCCGAAGTATTTCTAGCAAGAGAAAAAAAAATGCAGTCACCAAAACTGATGAATCGCGCAGACCACACCTCCATTGATTTAGCGAGAAGCGGCTTTTGCTAGCGAAAAATATGTTTCACACCTAACATTCGGGTTTTTGCCTCGATCGCGGTCCAATGTGAGCTCTAGGAATATTGGATGATCATTTCCTGATCAAAAACAATTCAAATACCGCTTACCTCATCTCACCCTGCTCTTTTATCGGGCCACTCTGGGCCACTTTTGGGTGAATCCTAGAATCTGAAATTAATCAATTAAAACCCCAAAGGACATTTACTATAATGTTCCCAATGCTGGTAAAGTTTTTAAAAGCAAAATCATCTTAAAAGGCCAAAATTTCACGCCTACACCCGATAAAAATTACAAAAACGTTTGGGCCAGCACAAACTGGTTTTGTTCGTGATGAAAATAATCGGAATGTGTTTCTAGAGTGTATATTCTCGATCAAACTTCTGACTAAACTATTATGAAAATTATTATTCGAAGGCATGCAGTATATAGTGTAAAGGCTGAATTATTCAAACCCATTTTTCAGTGTTACATATAAGCTATACTGGAAAAGAAACAAGAAACATCTACAGTCGGAGCCATTTTAGAAGTCCACAGCATTTTCTCCTACACATGCGTGGAGACTAATTTCACAAGACGTACGACCATAGGGACCAAATCTCCAGAGAACATAGCAGAGTGCGCGAGTGGGACTTTATATTTAGTCGCTGAGGCGATAGACAGCCACGCTTCGGTCCTCCGGGTGGGACTTCTCCTAATGAATCGAAACTTTTTTATAGCTACAATGAGTGTTAAATGTTTTCAGGAACTCAGGATATATTGACGAGCAACTGAAACTCTTGAAATACTGGATTCGTCGTTATTAAAGCGTAGAAATTACTATAAATATATTATTTCTTTTTCGATGAGCACAATACAATATGCTACGCATACTGACGTTTGTCATGGCGTGAAAATGTTGTTGCGAAGTTGGTCAAGCAATGAAGAGGACAAATTGCTACACATATGATCGTGTGAAACCACTACTAAATCGAGGTACGATCCATGATGTATGTGTTGCGTGAATTTCAGCGCTTATTGCTTCGTGCGTTGACTACTGCAGTCGGTGGCTTTCTATCGGTCGGTTCATGTTGCATGCAGCATTTCTAAACTAACAGTTCTTCTGTGGTATGCGCGTTGTTGACCTGGGTGGTCATTTTTTGTCCTCGTAGCCATTGGTGGGAACGACATGGTAGCCAAGTAAATGGCTGCAGTGAGGACCGGTGCCACTCAGTCGTGCTATTGGTGCGCGCATATTCCAGAAAGCTTCTCTCGACAAACAGCATGCTCCGAGTGTGATTGTCTAGTCTGTGCTTTTTCTCAGGCGTATTTCTTCGTACAGAGACTAATATATTGTTCCTTCAACAAATACCGTGTACAACCACCAAAAAAGAAGAAGAATCATTTACGCCCTTCAATTTTTTTGCAGTGCCCTCTGAACCTAAAATTTGAATACTACGTTTGTTCAGGAAAGACATGTTCTTAGTAGTCTATTTCAGGGAGGATGCTCTACTTGCGACAAATAATTTTCTCTTGGTAATTACGACTTTGCAAGGGTTACGCAAGACGTGAAGTTCACAACATGGCGATCGGTTGACGGTCATTGCATGATGGTGAAGTAGCGCTCTGTTGAATGACGTGTACTTGCACCCAATTCTACTGAAACAAAGGAGCATGCAGGAACACTGATTTTAACAAACATTATTCATATACTTTATATAATGCAGACTTACATAGAAAAACCCACATAGCTTTTGATGCATCCGCCTCTGTCTACTGAAAGACACAATACAGCTTCTTTTTTAAAGTGCATGTGTTGAGCCATGTATAAATGGGCATTGCATTTTTCATCTTTCCAACAATAACGCATTTCTGACGTCTTCTTTTCTTTTCTCTTTTTTTCGTACCTTCTAGATCGAGTACGAAGACGATTCTGCATCTTGTCTTTGCGCACTTCCGCTGACACTTCTGAAACACCGTGCTTGCGAAACGTGCGTCACGAGATGTATGACTACAAATATTTACGCGCAAAACGCGCGTAAATATTTGCAGCTAGTTGTACATTTTCATTATGAACTGGTGAAGTAGTGACGCCATCGTAGTGCCAGTCAATTATGTTAAATTTTTAAATCTCACGTTCCTTCTTAAATCGTTCGGTACTTTTCAAATGAAGTTATGCAATCGATCTTTTACAAGTTGGCAGCCTACGCATGCGCAGTGGCGCTGGTGCAACGCGCACTATGGTTCTTTTATTATTTTTTGCGTCACAGCGCAGTGACAGGAGCGAACCGAGCGAAACATGGCGGCACATGCTCATAGTTTATTTCTTATTTTAAAAAAAGACCATTCAGCAAGTTTGTTGGGTTTTATGGCGCAAAAGCAGCGATGGCTGTGATGCGCCAGGCTCTAAATGGGGATACAGGCCTCCCAGATTGTCTATCAGTGCCCGAGGCACAACTTTAGTGGTCGCACATTCCCAGTTTTCAATTTTAGTGATCTCCCCTGGAAGTGTTCTCGAGACCCAGGAAACGTTGATTGCCCACTCGAGCGAAATTTCATCATTAAATCATGCATGTTGACTCTAGGTGACATAAAACTGAAGACAACATACAGACTACCTTTTCGTGGCAGAGTAAGCGACGGCGGCTGCCTGAGAGACTTCCCATTGTAGAACATTCGTTGCCGAGGAGCTGGAACGGGCATAGACAGCGTGCTCTGAAACAATGTAGAGCTTTTATAGCGACGTCGTGAAAAATACAAACAGTATGCTTGCGTGTCAAAATCTGCGCCACACTGCAGAAGCTCTCTACTTAAAGTCACCAGCGCTAACGAGTTCGCTTCCACTGGTGCGTAGTAACCAAGAATAACGTAATACTTCTTCCTTTCCAATCACAGTGTTCCTAATGAATTTGACTGAAATGATTCGAACATGAACACCACAATCTTCATTTTTTTCCCCTCAGCGAATGTATTGGTTCACGCCACCACCCTTCCCCCTCCGAAACTTTTCGGCATACACATATTCTGGTTATGCGCAACTTCTGCAATCAACCCACTCTTTGCAAAGTGGTGGTGCTGTATAATGACGTCATCTCATGACCACAACAGGCGATGATAATTTTTGGCAGCATGCAAGTTGTGGTCAGCTAACGCTCAACAAGTTCGAAGAAAATTAACTGCAATATTTTCTATTCTGCCTGCTCCTCGTACTTCGCTTCAGGCGAAAATGTTTGGGCCGCCAATGCATGCGCTGCTTGGCACGCAACGCCACAAAGAACTGAAAACACAGCTCGTCGAAGTGGAGCACGCACACTAAATAATGTGTTTACGAGCCGAAAGAAACTGAAATTTTTTGCATAGTGGCCGGAAAGTGCCCACTCCGCAAAAAGCAAATGATGACGCCCCGGTTTATTCGCCCCCGGTTTTCCACTTTCCCTACACGTATTATGGCTTAGCAAAAAGTATCAAAATTTTGGTTCGGTCCTCAAGTAAAACAAGCGTAACCTCTTCTAGCTCAGGCTGAAAGAAATAGAACAAGAATGAAACTGTCTTGCGTGAAAGCATGCAGTACTATGTCTGATCCTTTGAACAATTGCACCACTAGGCCTTTCCTGCTAGAGGTGTTTAGATGGCATTTCTGCAAGCCACGGGAACACATTGCAATCCATAGATCTCACTGTACGCATGTACTCCTGGTGTCAAAACAGGTCATTTGTGACTACTTCCTACTTGACGCTTCAAAACTAGACAATTATTAAGCCATCAGAAAGTGAAGGCTTTCTTTGGCTTCACTATCGGCTAGGGCTAACAAAGAAACGGTCGATTTACCATACTTTTGGTTCATTACCAACATAAACCATTTGTGAGCGTGACTAGACCTGTGCAAGTTCCTCGTTCTTCCGGAGCTCATTCGTTGGCGTTCCTTTCATCTGACCTCTTCCTGGCGCTCTTTACATAGTAAACTTTGCGGGACTCTTACATTTATTAGCATGCACTCTTAGCCATAGTGCCTCACTGAGGAGACTTCGATGCATTATTGCTATATCTAAGCAGCTACAAAAATCACAAACGTTATAGATTGTCTACCGTATACTTAGACAGCAGTAGACACATAAAGGTGATTTTATTTGCCAGGTGGTCCCTGCACTATTGTCTATATGGAGCCGTTGCCATATTCTCAGAGACCTTCTTTCATTTTTCCTCTCCCCTGACGGAGTGGGCGCCTTTGCAACAGTGTGTCTAGCACCAGTACTGATTTGAATTTGCTCCCATGGACCACAACAAGTGCGTTTTGTGATTATTTATCGCGGGTTCTCGAGAATAACACGAAGCTATCATGCAAAAATTGTTAGGGATAGCAAATCCAAGACACAGGCGATTCAAGCCGTACCATTAGCGAAGGTGGCCTCACAATGGCAAACAGAAATTAGAGACGTCAAGCTCGGCGAATTCTTGTCCAATATTCAAGAAACCTCTAGATTTGCACGTCTGTCTGCTTGTCGACTTTCCCACGTGTCTTACCTGAGGGAAGCGCAGTGGAGACACCTTGAGTGCATCGGAGTAAGGCCTAGACAAGCGCATAGGTGAGCTGGATCCGTCGGCCAGCCTGCCGATTCCCGTGGCACTCGGCTCCGGTGCCTCCCGGCGAAGTAGTGAGTGAAGGAGGTGGGCGCGTCCACTGAAGGGATCCTCCATCTGGGACAGCTTCCTCTCAAGGCAGGTGCTCGTCTGCGCGCATACCGTTGATGTCAGTCTACCCTAAATACTTCAGCCAAGTTAGTCTATTTTATTTATTTGTAAATTCTGCCAATACCAAAGGCATCAGAGCAGGAGGGCTTATACAGTAGTTTTATACATAATAGCACAAATTGTTATAGAATGCCAGTAAGAAGTATTTACAAAAAAAGTTGACAAACAAGAGCAATTAGTAGGATGCAAATGTAAAGGGAACAGTCTTGCATGAGTGAGGTTACTTCCTTTTCTTATGGTCAATAGAGTAGTTGAGATTTCTGAAGTAGAACGTATGGAAGGTGTATTCGGTGGGTATCAGTTTATGGTTATCTCTGGTATGGCGTGTTTTTATCCTTCTTATGAAATAAGACACATCAATTGTTGAGCGTGAGTACATGAAGTTCAGTCTAGCTATTTTTTCCGCGGCGCCTAAGAATATCTGCCCAGCAGTTAGAAATTAACCTGATTGCCTTTTGCAGCGAAAGCTCTTTTGACATCACAAGAAAGGCCTATTCTGGCGCCATAGTTGTCCGCCGCCGTCACCGGTGTCCTAACCACTATGGCGCGAAATAGGAAAAAGAAAATAAATACAAAATACTGAAAACACAATGGCAATCAAACCCGAGCCCTATGCGAGATAGCCTAGTACTACACCAGCGAGATATGCCGGTGCTTGAAACTATGTTGAAAGCTGACCCTACGCAGGCTTCATGTCGAATAAGGAATCGCGTGAACATGTGTAATAAAACGCTTTAGAACAGGAAGGCAACAACCTGATGTCACAAAATGCAAACTGCGTAGCGAGTGCATCGTTGAATCTTCCAACTCACTGCAAAAGCCTCAGGCATAATTCTTGATCGTCATCAGCCACAGCATCGACAATGTGCACATAATTCCTTACAAGTGTGCTGCGGATACCACGCTTCCCCGAAGTGTGACGAAAAATGGCACAGTGAATGTCTCACTACTGCACAAAATTATGGTTTATGGCGTAGTGGGTACCCTGCAAGTGTGATTGCAGGTGTAAACCAAAGAGTGTTGAAGAAGGGCTCTAGAAAGGCTGCTCTTCTATGGCCTGTGGGTTTTAAATGCGAAGCATTTCTTTGCAGACTGCAGGCACTTTTAGCCTCTATCCACGTATCTACTCATCTTTTATGTTCACTAGTCTATCTATTATTGTTCGTGAAACGTGAGTTGTCGTTGCTGCGGTGACACAGCGGTCAAATCGGTTTGTAGCAGCGTCCAGGGCTACCATCGTCGTCAGCACAAGCGTTTCACATCATCTTACCGCTTCTGGTGCTGATAGTAGCAACGTTGCTGTAGGCATCATTGCGTAACTGTAAACAACATTTGTACATATCTTTAGCATCATTACATGACATTTCGCTCAATAAAAAACTACAACATAGCCACCTTCTTTCCGCAGGCTTCGCGTGACAACGATTACCAGGGCACGTAGTGTCCACCGAATTTTCGTTCTTGCACTATTTATCTTAATTAGGCACAGCCAACTAGCTAAGTCGGCCAATTTCTTCTCTGTAGTGTCCCTTTAAGGCTAGTATTATGAATTTAGTATCTTTAGGCCATAATCAAGTAAGCCTTTCGTTATAAACTCAGCAGCTTACGAAGAACGCATTTTATCATTACCTTGAGCTGACCTGAAGCCACTCCGTTTGCAATAGCCAGGCAAGAAAGCTTCTCGTAATCCAGTAAACAGAAACTATACCAATGGGATGCTACAGATGTAGGCTCATCTTCCATAGAGGTCATACATTTCTCTCTCTCGAGCAGGAATTTTTTAGGGTCGCCACACCACAAAAAAATACACCGCGGAAAAAAACGAGGGTATGCTATAGTGAAGGACTACTCGCCAGGGATAAAGATTCTGTTACATATCGAGCTGTGCAGACTTCCCCACGTCAAAGTACGATCAAGTCAGCCCTCCAAGAAAAATGTGTTCGGACTCCAAAAAGTCGCATTCAGGAGGTTTTTAAATTCAGAGCATTACTTTGTCGCCCTAGGTCGCAGATTCGGTGTCGGTGGCACCTCCCACAACCCAACTGCGCGTGCTCGCGTCTCGGATCTCGTGCAACCTGTCACTCTCCTACACCCTCTCGACTCGCAACGCCGATGCAGGCAGCGTCTGCTAGTAAAAACCGACTGCTCGCGCTGCACAACCGCTCACTGGCGCTGGATCGCGCGTTCGGAAATCAGTCAAGGGCGTCTTACTTGGCTTTCGCTTGACCTGATGCTTTGCTTGACTCGAGTAGATGCGATGAAAGCAGCAGTACTTTCAACCACATCTTCGTGCCTTCATGCAGTATCGGGGCACAACCCTATAATAGCGTCCCACGACTGGTTCAAAGCAACGCTTCTCCTTCATTCAATAAATAGGAATATTAAAGCATTAGGCATTCCCAAACCATATTCATATACACAATATTGAGGCGATACCCCCCCCCCCCGCCACTCTGCAACGCATATACTTGAGTTCCCCCCGTTTCAAAGCCCGTTTGCGCGGCACTGTTTCTCGGGCAAATGACAGTGGCGCGCCCCTAGCTTTTCTTCCTCCGGATTATTTGTTTGCTTGCTTATTAAAGAGATGCCTCATCAAACTTGAATAATTATCGTCAGACGCGCCAGCACGAAAAATGCGAAAAGCATAGTCTTTTGATGAATTCACCTTGTGTTGTCATATGGACATCACGGGTCGCGAGCGTTCGGGATGTCATGACGACATATCTATAACGTCACATCATATTAACTTGTCGCTTGGTCAAAAGTGAGCCGATCATGGAGGCCGTACAAAACCAGGTGAAAAACAGAAAGCTTGCAACGCCTCCAGTCCCGTAAGCAGTGCTGAACTGATCTCGAAGCGTATAGCTTTCGGGTAGGATTGATTCAGTAGACTGAGAAAGAAAACAAGAAGATGGCTTCCGCTTTCCAGTTGTATTAGGCACATGCATAAAGGGCCTTGAGACTTGCCTGCTCACTTGTTCGTTTGTTCCGTTGCACCACCATAATTTGCAGAAATGTCATTAGCTAGGCAAGTTGAACCGCTCACTTCTTACCTAAAGCATTACCAACAACAGGTATGCATTATTCATCACGCCTCAGAGTTCAAGACATTAGGAGCCGGATGTCCGCAGGGCAGCATTCTAGGGCCCCCTTCATTCTTCCTGTATATAAACGACATAGTCAGAATTAAGGAACCCGCGAGATTCATAATATACCCAGATGACGTTACCTACTATTTTCTGCGCCGAATGCTACTGATTCAATAAAGAATGTCGATCGCACATTATCAATGCTCCGACGATTTTCTTAAAATGAATGCTCCTAAAACAAAGGCTGCCTTTTTAGACCCACAAACCGCAAAATAGAAGCCCAAACTTGTATATATCATAAAAGTTCGCCTATACATAAACAGTGCCTTCTGTAAAGAGTCTCGATGTTTTGTTTGAGGAGCACATGTCTAAGAATAAGTACAGTGAACTGATCACTTATAAAATTTCACGGTTCTCCGGTATCCTCAATGAATGCAAATACTACTTGTCTAAAGATACTATTAAGCTTGTTATTTATAACAGCCTATTTGCATCATATATCAAGTACTGCTACTTTGTCTGGGGTACAACGACGCTGAAGACCATTAAGAATCTAGATATAATCAAGAAGAAATCCATTCGAGCCATTATTAGCGCGTCATAACAGCCACACTGAACTATTATTTGTTGAGCTGAACTTAATTCCGCTTCCAGCGCTATCACACTGGTGTCGTCAAAAAGAACACATTGTCACGCAACCTTTCTCGCCTAACGGAAAATAAAAAAGCTACGCATGACTCGTTTCATCGAGAAATGGGAACTTCCACGCGCACGAACGTACTAAGACAAACAGATGTTAAGCGCTTTCTCTCGTCCATTCTTCCTCTTGGGCCTCGACTGTTTCTCTTTGCACTGGTATTTTCGACGAAACCAAAATTACCTGATTGGCTAAACAGTATGAATCTATTAGCCAAGTGTCAGGGTCTTCTTGCATTGAGAACCAAGATAACATTCAGCCGAGAACGTACCTTGGTGAGCGCCACGACGTCCTTAGCGAGCGCGTCCATGCGCTGCAGAAAGAGGCGTTCCTGCTGCGCTAGAAGGCGACCAACTTCATCCTTCTGCTGGATCAGCTGCTGCGACAGGCTGGCCAGTGCCGCCTGTCCCTCGGAGAAAGATCCGGGAGGCTCGGCTGACAGCTCCCAGGGACTCGCCTCGCCGGCAGCAGCACCTGCCAAGCTCATCTTGCGGTCACCCACCGCCAGGCTGTCACACTTCCGCTGAAGCTCGTCCAGCCGACAGAGCAGTTCGTCGCGAAGGAGGAGCTACCCCCGTGAGAGAATATAAATCATATACCACATAAATGTGATTTTCGCTGTTGGTGAAGTGCTAACATCCACGATGCAGATTAATAGATTGTGTTGTACAGACTTCAATACGCTTGGCTAATATTCATCTATATATGTGACGTATGAAGTGATGGTTAGTAGAGGTAGAGAAGGAAGAAGTCAGACAGTAGAATAAACATGGCGTATGAGCCAGGCCACGTCACCCAGTCATCATAGCGTCACACGAGTCGACAGGATGAAGACCTGGCGGCCACTTCATCAACCAGCCACCATCTCCGAACGTCTCAGCAAGACGCAGTGACCGAACGTGGACCACGAAAGTACATCCCAACACTACACCAAGACCAGCATTATGACAGCACCATCAGACGACCTTCCCATCTCCAAGTACACCAGAGCAGCGGACGATGGACCTGTACAGAACTGGTTCGACCTGTTCGAGCACCACGCAACCGCTACATCATGGTCGGAACGGGAAATGATCACCAACTTCACTGACTACATTTCCGGTGAGGCATTCAAGTTTTACCTGACACACATATTCGAAAACGACGAATCATGGCAAAAGATCAGGGAAGAGATGATTGCCCGTTTTAATGACTACGACAAGGGCTTCCTCATTACCGACCATCTGCATACAACCACACTCGACCGTCACAGTCCAGCTTATTTCTCAAGAAACGTGGCATTCCACCAGGTTTCTCTTCACGAAAGGCGGCATTTCCAAAGTCGTGGCACAAACATACGACACGAGACGTCGCTCACCCTACTGATGCCTTTCATGCTTCATCTCGCATACATGGTCCACCACCTGGTTTTCTACGACGCAGCTCTTCAAAGGCTCCTAACGGTCACTATTCGTGTCATAAGGACGCCTTGTTCATGGTAGACCAGCTGACACATGGGGAAAATACCAAACAACGCCAAGATGACTCAAAGAGTGAAAATCAGTCTTCACGCATTAGAGCAGCTTACTCCCCATCTCGCAGACTTGGCCCGCCTCATGGTTTTCCATCGCTTGGCTCTTTCGTGACTCACAATGTCCATCTCACATCTAGCACACTCACAATGGTCGGAATAGAGCTGCGGAGCTCGGACGATGCTACGCCAAGCCCTGGACTTACCACCCAGATTCATGCGCCAGAACAGCTCGCATCGTTAGTTGCACAGAAAGAGGGCCATTCACAACTCAAACCTTACCGAACTACCCCTGTTGCGGTGTTGCCGTCCAGTGCGCAGCCACCAGAAACTCCAAACACAGAAGGCTCAGACGCATCGAACGTCGCATGCTACCAGGCGCAAGAACCACTCATAGCGAGCCGCGGAGAAGAAGCCCCTGTTGAACTATCTGTCAACTCTGAATGTTTTCTGTCGCAAGAGTTCATTTCCACGGCACCGCAGACTTGCCAAAATTTGCATTTTCAACATGGTGATGCGACGTCACATGTGGTATCCCCATACAGTGCTTACAGCTCCAAGAACCGAAAAAAATGCAGAAGTAATACATACACCAAACCTCGCACGCAGCTGTCTGTCCAAAGTGTCCATACTGGAACACCTTACCGAAGTCTTTGAAGAGCATAATGATGGCGCATTACCAACTATGCCCCATAAGCAAGACACCAGCTCACCATGCATCAGCTGTCTACAGGACGCGTCAAACCTCGAAGAAAATGAATGCCCGATTCCAGAAGGGGCGCCACTACAGCCATCTCCTGAGCAGCACCAGCAAAGCAAGCAAAACGAAGTTCACCAACTCAGAAAACAACGAGAGAGACTGCAACGAGGGCATCGGCGAACTCCAAATTCAATGGAAGCGCGTTCACCAGTTGAAGAACATCGAAAAATAAGATCTCCAAACCAACAAGACGTCAGACACTTTCGGACAAAGAAAAGTCGCCAGAAACGCTTCCAGCGCCTGCTATTCCGCCGGCTGCAACACCACAGAAAACGCCAAGAAAGACGCGGAAGCACTGCTTGCAAACCGCAAGCACTCAGGCACTCCATCACAGTCTGTCGAGAAGCACGCAAGCAAGAAGCATCGGGATTGCATCATTCACGGCGAAAAATACAACCCCGACGACATCTGAGCTGCCGATGCAACAAGGCGTTCCAACCTTGGTCAGACCGAACAAGAGTTCTAGCAGTACTGTCAGTATACACGTGTATCCCACTCTGTCCGGAACGCAACAATTAGCCTCGCCCACCAGAGTTGTTATAGAGTTCACCGGACTGCTCCCTCGGGCTTGAAGATTTAAAGAGACTGTGGAACTCCGTCGGGGCGTGATACTGAGAATTTGGACATTGTATGTTTATTGGCTTCTTCAATTTTTGTAGGTTATAAACGGTGCCATCTTTCGGGGGAATCGTGTGACGTATCAAGTGATGGTTAGTAGAGGGAGAGAAGGAAGAAGTCAGACAGTAGAATAAACATGGTGTATGAGCCAGGCCACGTCACCCAGTCATCGTAGCGTCACATATATTATTTGCACGCCGTATGATGAAAAACTCGGGAAGAGCACGTGAATTGCTATTCATGCGCCAGCACCGTTACAGCAGCCGGAGGAATAATTGCATGGTGGTCAATTAACGGCGCATATTACTTAAAAGAACACACTCACAAGCGCGTGAACACAACAGAAACACTTTGATAAAGAAGAAGCACTGTTATAAAAGTAAAATTGGTTTGCTGCGTTTGTGTCTGGAAGTAAGAGGGGCCGTTCTCTTTGTCTGTCCCTGTCGCTTTACCATCAATGGTCAGCACGCCAGAAGCTTCACCCTTAATGCGTACTTTCCAGATGTGTTCGCGTGCCATAGTGTATCAGCGTAGATGTGACTGTGTCCCTCTCATTCCTCAAGGCGACTCAATTTGCCGAAGTGCAAACTAGCGCTGCCTGGAGATCTCCCTTAAGCCATTGCATCTTTTAACGCGTTCGCTCCTGGCCTGCTTGTATGCAGCGAGCATTCGCATACACAGCGATGTGATGTGCGCACTGGTTTCGGGTAATAATGAAAGAGTGCACCCGAGGAGATCGCTCTGGCTTGTATCGATTTCCCACATTTCATCCAAGCCTCTTGGGAAGCCAAGTGCGTTTTCCGACATATCAGATCCCATGCATAGTAATTCGCTAACTGCAACGCTGCTACATTTCACACGCTTCGGCGTGACCACGGGGCCAGGTTTTCTTAGAACTACTGCACATATTCCCTCTTACGAATGTGCACATCAGCGTAGTGATGCTTTCTCTGTAACTTCACTCACTTTGTCCTCAGCGTGGTCGGGCCCATCTTCTTTCCGCAGCAGGATATTCCGGAGTTCGTGCAAGCCCCGGTTCAACTCAGTCGCCGTTGGCAGCGCCGTGCCAGTGGCCATTCGCTGCCACTGTGCCAGCAGGGCGTCCTCTGTGGGCGCAGGCTTCTCCGGGTGTCGCCGCACCACGTGCGCTTGCAGGTACGCTAGGCTGACGAACACCTTGCGGCAGTAGGGGCAGGGCTGCGGCGACACAAAGCAATGTTGAAAGCACTTGAACGTGTCCTCGCACAGTTGGCATGTATCTACGAATCTACAAAAGGTGTGCTTTGCGTAATCGAACAAGTTAATTTAATGGGAGTCAATCGACTGCGTAAAATTGTCAAATATCTAGTGCAATACCGAAGAGGACAAACAAAAATGGCTGCAAATCGACGACGTCAATGCTGATGATGGAGCGAAGAGGGGCCGTTCTCTTTGTCTGTCCCTGTCGCTTTAACATGAATGATCAGCATGCCAGAAGCTTCACCCTTAATGCGTAATTTCCACAATGTGTTCGTGTGCATGAGTGTATCAGCGTAGATGTGACTGTGCGTCATCTACTGTGATGACTGCGTCCCATCTATAGACGAAATGATAGATACCAAAAAAATTTTCACTTTGAAACACCATTTGCGCGCTATACACAGTATTGCGCACAGATTTTTCGCACCTGCGCTTCGAATAGAGACGGTGGCGAGCCCCGACGACTACGATCGGACATCTTCAGTGCCTATTTTACTGCTTAGGCCATCCAAGCGCTCGAGCTCCACTGCTCAAACGTGAACTCGAAAATTAAGTACTTATTTCACCGTACACTTTTAGGCGCAAGAATCACATACGAGGTTGCGAAGACACTGGTGAATGTCAGTATTAGCAAGAGCTGCGCAAGGCGTATTTTTCGTCTCTTCATCTTTTTCTCGGATACGCGCATTTTTCGATATCTGTGTACAATTCTTACAATCAAAGCTGCGTCATTGAAAAAACATTTCGGTTTCCGAAAGCTTTTCCTGGTTTCAGCTCTTCCTTGTCAATGCGAAAAATTCACACTGAGTTTTTTTTTTTTTTTAATGAAGCCGTTCATCCAGTTTTTGAGGCTGTACCTCCTTTTCACGCCACAAAAGCTGCACACACGAGTAAAGCGGCTGAGCTGCGATAAATCCTGTGGCTCTGTGTTATAATACACGGCGTCCTTTGCGCCTGACGCAATGTAAGGGCGCTCAGGTGGTTGCTCTTGTAGAATTCTAAAAAATACTCTCTCCCACATAGATAATTCAGCATAGGCGTGCACTTCAGCTCGGAACCAATAATGACATTCCTACGCGCTTTAAAACGAGTAAAAGGCAGACATGCTCTCGCAGGCAGACGTCCTCACCCTTTGTCTCCAACGTGTGGGAACAGGAGGCCCAGAAAAACATTATTGAAACACACAGAGCAAGTAACAAAGAAAACGCAGGAGGAAAACACGCACAATGCTTAACCTGCGCTGTATGTTTCGCTAAACTAAACCAACAAGCCTACGTTCGTTCTGTCATAAGCATTTGTCAGCCTAGTGGCTAAGCTGATGTTACGGCCATGATTTCCGAGCTTGCCGGCGTCTGTCTTTTTTTTTGGGGGGGGGGGGGGGCGCCAGTACAGTGTCGACTACGGTCACCACGTCGAGCCAATCATGAAAGACTCGGATCGAAGTCACCACATTTTTCTTTTCACTTTCGATAAGCATTTCTAGGCACAGGCACGGGTGATGTCACGATTGACATTCATTGTAGACCTATGACCTGTTCTCAAGTTCCGCCACGGTCGAGTTTTAAGCCAATTGGAGTAATAGCCTACAGTCAACTGATTAGCGCTCTCAAGGTGGCGGATTGAGGCATGGTCACGACTTTCACAGCTCGGTGAGCTTGGCAGTAAAATGAAGGGGAAGCGTAGTGATACGCACCAACAGCAGAGTGCGAGCCCCAAATATATGCTTTCCGCAACCTGCACGAAAACGACACCCACGCACTGGCGTACTCACTGAGCAGCTGTGGACGAGCATCATAGGACAATTGCATCTGAGCCGATTGATTGATTGATTGATTGATTGATTGATTGATTGATTGATTGATTGATTGATTGATTGATTGATTGATTGATACGAGGGGTTTAACGTCCCAAAACCACCATATGTTTATGAGAGACGCCGTTTTTGAGGGCTCCGGAAATTTAGACCACCTGGGGTTCTTTAACGTGCACCCAAATATGAGCACACGGGCCTACAGCATATTCGCCTCCATCGAAAATGCAGCCGACGCATCCGGAATTCAATCTCGCGACCTTCGGGTCAGCAGCCGAGTATCTTAGCCACTAGACCACCGCGGCGGAGTGCATCTGAGCTGATTCAACGGCTCATTCACAAGGAGGCGCTGGCCGAGAAGGCTGCAATAGTTAAGGTTAACCTGCTTCTGAAGTTTCATGGTAACAACAAGGTTTCTGCTTGCGTATTAGCTCAAAAATGGGCGTCAAATGCGTTCCCATGTACTGTTGCTTCCACTTGCCCACGTCACGTGCTGACTCCAAAGGAAATGAATGAGTTGGTGCTGTACGCACTATTACGTGACAACGAATAGTCAAACGGCTACTGAACAGCATCAGACAGGTGAGAGTGAATGAAGGCACACAACTGCTCCCGTGGGTGCGAAGCGGTCAGAGCGCAGCATCTCCAGCTGCTGGTTCTCGATGATGCGGCGTCGCTTGCGGTTCTCGCGCTGAAGTTCCCGAATGGCCTCCTGGTCGCAGATGCGGAACTTGCGCTCTTCTTCCAGCGTCTGCATTGCCTCCGCCAACCGTTCCTCGGTGTCGGTTAGCGACTGGAGAAGAATATCCTGCGAGAACTGTTGGTAAAAATACTTTTGTACTACACCTTGCATAATATACAAGAAACCAACTCTCTAAATATCCCCGGAGCTCTGAAAACAAGCGTTTAGACCCTGGTGCACGTCACCTATTCTTTCGACTCTTCGGTTGTTCCGATGGGGGGAATGTTTTAAGACAAAAGCCCTAAATTCTGCCTCAGCCACCAAAAGTAGCCGTCGGTGTCGGCACGAACTGATCTAAAAATTTTCATCTATCGAAGACATCGTCATGTAGCTTCATGATGGCGCCAAATATCGCGAATGTTTGGGGCATCTATAAAACCACGTGAGACGCAAAAATCAACTCGCAACGCTTCCAATCACTGAGGCTATGCAAAATCACGTTACGTGCAGATGACTTCAGAGAGGGGGGGGGGGGGTGAATGCAATCGATTGAGAAAAAGACGGTTTTCTAGGTATATATACCTACATATATACCATATAATATACCTAGAATATACCTATAAATATACCATACTTACAGGTATATTCATTTAGACGGCGTTTCTTTACAGGGGCCCTGCAGTACTTTTCTAAGTAGTCATTAATGAATTCAGCGAAGAAGCTTGTTGCCTCTCAAATTCACTGGCGCACAAACTTTCAGATACTGTTCTGTAGAGCGAAGTTACAAAGATTTGCCACATGGCTTGCTACAATTAATGATCATTATCTCTTCTCTCGTCCCGAAGAAAGTGCTAGAAGCTAAACCGGGAGAAATGGCACGGGGAAAGATAGCCACCTGCGCCTCGTGACCTTGAGCACTTTTTTTTTTCTTCGAATACGCGGCTTTTCTGATCAATCGCGCGTGCGCGCGTGGAGAAGTCGCGATTCATCTGCTCGATTCGTCCGATGTAGGCTGATACTTGGCCTGGGATGCAGTGATTTTTGGTCAGCAGCGTCTTCTGTTGAGATAAGCGAAAGTGATTTTTTTAGCTGACTGAGAAACTATTGAAAATTCCAGGACACGTGCTGCGTTAAATTATTTGGCACGCGTGCTGTAGGCAGCCTCGACTACCCATCGACAGCATTTTCTGACCATACTCAAAAAGTCTTGCAGGACCCCTATAATTAAAAAACACATCATCTACTTCCAGAAGAGGACCGTGCAATGCATAGATGTGCACATGGAGACACTAAACATTTCCGCTAAAACTCATTCTCTTGACATGCTATGAGAAAATTTTCAGTCAATGTTGACCTAGTTCATGCGGTCTCGCATTACGTTGTCGTTTAGCCCCGTAGCATTACATCCCAAATAACGCTGTTGGTGTGGCCACATTGGGTCTTGAGAGCATTGACGTTACCCCTATTTTCTATGAGTTCAAGCAGCTCGACTGCCATAAGAACAGCAGTTTCTTAACGGCTACTAAAAGACATAGTATTATTTTTGTCATTGACAAGAATAGCCTTCTTAATTTATACCTACAATAGGCCCGTGTACTCAAATTTGGGTGCACGTTAAAGAACCCCAGGTGGTCGAAATTTCCGGAGTCCTCCACTACGGCATGGCGTCTCTCATAATCATATGGTGGTTTTGGGACGTTAAACCCAACAAATCAATCAATTTATACCAACAAGTGCTGGTTACCTTTAAAAATATACAAAGTTACATACGAGCTACAGCAAAGTAACTTAGCTTTCGCCAGCGTGGAAATGTGCAAAAACTTACATGCTTAAGTAAAAGCTTCACCGGCATTATCATCGTACGAGCGTTCTTTACAGTTTACCTTAAAGACTACTACATTGTATAGTATACAGCACTATTCCTCGTCGTATTTTTCTCATAGTCATGCTTCTGTTGCTGTGAAGTGTTGAGCTGACATCTACTGCTTAAACATTTTGAAAAGTGAATAAATATTTTGTATGTTTCTTTGTATGCTTTCGACGCCCGCTTAGCTATCTATTATTATGTAACCAACAAGAGGACCCGCGGAAGTTTTTGAACAGTGGGAACTTTAATCGTTACGACCTCTCTTGTGAGTAAGAAAATAACCTTGAACTTGAGGCAGTCTGCAATCAATGTGAAGCGCCGTATTTCACCAGTCTTTCTAGTAACGCCAGGCCGACTATCTTTGGGCCGTCTGGCAAGCCTAAGATGCCGTGAGGGTCTAAGGACTTCAAGCCGTCACATGAGGCACTGCCATCATAATAGACGGAGGGCGGGATGGGACAAGTGTTAACTCCCCCTTCTGTCCACTTCGCCCGAAGGAAACTGCCGGACTTTAAATAAGGTTATTCATTCATTCAAGCGTACGAACTACAATGATCCACCAGATGTGTACGCGCTAAACTACGTCATGTGTGTGTGCACCACGTGTACTAGTCCTGCAGCAGATGTGTGAGGTCAGCCTCAAGCTCGTACGATGTTCTTGTTCTTTTCGTTCATGTGATGACGTAGACTTGCTGAGTACGCTTACTTGGTGTACTGGACATACAGCTTGGCCAATAGGAAAGAGAAAGACTAGATTGGAGCGATCGCGGCCCTCGCTGCTATTAGCCATTGTGGTAGGAAAACCTGTACACAGCACCTCCTCCAATTCAAACAAGGGCGTTTTAATGGCAGGAGTAGCGACAACTAGCCGCGCAGGTAGCGGTCGCTCCATCGTAGTCTTTCTCTTCTCTTTTGGTCAAGCCGCATGTCCACTACCTTACTTGCATTGGTTTTATTTCGTAAACATTTGAGTTTGCCGCTTGAGGAGAGGGGACGGAATCTGTATTTATTGAAGATAAAAGTGCATTTTGCTGTTTCAAATGAAACAGTTTTCAGTTTGCGCCCATCGTCGCTATCTTTTTTCGGATCCGTGCATGAGTTGCGCATAAAACAGTCATGCTGGCTGAAAAACGTGGCGCAAGGTTGACCAAGAGAAAAAAAGACTTGGTCAACCTTGCACCGCGAATCTCTTGGTCAACCTTGCGCCACGTTTTTCAGCCTAATATGTACCAACTAGCCCAACATAACGTACTATTAAAACAGTCATGAATCGGTATGGACTCGCCCAATTGTCAGTACTGTTGCTTATAAGTGCTCACGTGGTTGACCTCTGCTGTCATCGTCAGATATGGGTGCTCTCTGATTTTCTTTTTATTGCGATAGGAATTATAAGGACACTCCCGGCTGCATTTTGCCGCCGGCATCGGCGTCACCATCGTTCCCTGTATATGTATACATATCTATACATAGGAAAACGCAAGAAAGAAAAAACAATCCAAAAAAAGACTCCGGCGCATGGTATCACACGTCGGAGCTCTGAATTCTGATAACGAGGCGTTAGCCAATGAGCCACGAAGGAGCACCTCCTTGAACGTTTAAATGGCAAGCTATTTATATCTACCACTTAATGGGCATCTCGGGGGAAACTATTGTGTTTTCCAGCATTACGAGCGATTTGGCGCAGTGAGCACACACGCGCGTCACCACGTCGTCACGACGCGGCGGGACACGCTCTAATCTGCCACGCGTACTTTGCTCCACGGAGAGAAGACGATCACGCGTGCGCTCGCCTATCTCGCGGTGGGGACAATCGCACGCCTTGGGCTTTTACCGTAACGATTCTGTAGCAGTTACCAGGCGCACAAAGGTCACTGCACTCGCTGCACTGTCTGTTTGCGAAAAGGGCGCGCTTTTCAGGCACAGTGAAGTAACAACTGAGATGCCTACTCGTGTTCATCTGTACCTGTCAGTAAGTTTTGTGCGTCATTTGCGCGTGAGAAACGCGGGGCACGTTTAGATCGGCTTGCCAATATTGACGTGACCCTTCGAATTTTTGCTGTCGCATTCATTGCTTCGGCTTTGCGGCAAACTGTGACTTTTTTCTGTCTTCTTGAAGACAGTCATGCGGAGCTCCAAATCCATATCGTAGGTCTTACTCTTACGACAAAGACAAATCAGTGTGAAAGGGCCATTATAAATGTGAAGAAATGAATACACAAACACTTGGATCAGGTCAGTGGAGTATAGGTATTGACGCAAGAAAGCTAAATAGGCGAATAGCAGTCGATTGACTTGCTAACAGCCGTGAACAGAATATTGGCAAATACTGGAGAGAGAACAAGTTGAATCTGACAGGCCATGCGACAGTTTCCACATGCTTTAAGCCACAATGTTCTCTCATTGAATACTTACCACCGGCTGGTCTACCGTTGTCATTCAGGTACGTTCATCGCTTATTCGTGGTTTGCTATTGCAAAAAAACTGTCCTTATCACCATTTCCTTATCACCTATTTTATATCTGAGTATCAACAAGACTAGCCTTAATTTTTCAGCCGTCTACTTGTGTAAAGCATTACGATAACGCGTTTCCTTGAGACACCATGCACAGAACGCGTGCAACTTCGTTCAAATGTGACAGACAACATTCATTATCACAGTTCAGTTAAAAGCCCACATGAAACTCTTCAGTTGCTTTTCGTTTTCATACTGTGCAGATAATTAATCGTCGAGGGGCCGAGTGTGCCGTATAATAACGATATAAATATTTGTAAAGAGCTGTGGGTCTTAAGGAACCCACATGAAACACGGTATTCGATACGTTCGTGTTTAAACTAATGTTGTCCAAGATTTAAATTTTTCAACGAGGCAAAACGTTTATGCTGCATGCATGTACGTGCTGTACATGCTAAGCGTCATGTGAAAATGTGCAGTGTTAGGTACTGTTGAGCAAGTGTTAGCAATACGGCATTACAGTGCCTGGAAAAAAAGGGTTGCATCTGGGTGTTTTGACGAAATACATTAATGTAATGCTTGGTTTTTAGTGTCGTGAGCATCGTGTGAGACCCTTGTTTCTCTTTAAAGCCTACATGGTCGACCAAAACCTTCTGGTTTTTCGAATATGCAGAGAAGGTATTTTACAAAATAGAGATCAATATTCTTATTCAAGATAGGTGTTATATTCGATGCGTATAATATCGGAGGAGAACATTACTTAAGTGTGAATTAACTGCAAGAATAGTTGATGAAAACAGAGTTTGATGAATAATTCTGAGTAACCGCAATTGTTGCGGAATCCTGGCAGAGCACATCTCATGCATGTTTTTCTTTCCACGCGCGCTCCGAGACTGGCTTCAGAAGCGCACGAAAAACAAAGTTAACTGGAACCACAACCAGCATAACCAAAACAAAAATATTTAGGGCGACTTCAACCACATATATGCGTTCGTGCGAGCGCTTCAAATGTGCGGGTATATATGCGCATACAAAACTTCAGTAAAATTTCTTGAGGGGGATGTCTCCACCTACCCTCCCCCAGGTTATGCCAGTGCAAGGAATATACCTGCAGGTATATAACCATGGTTATACGAACAACAACGTGCGAGCCTAACTACACACAAATAATGATAGTCGCCTCCAGAATTTTCTTCAACGAAGATAAAGTTGAGCCCCATATGCGCTACTTACCATGAGGTATTCAATGCAGAGCTGCGCAAGCTTGAACAACTTGACAAAGTTTGGGTCCACTGACGTTCCTTCCTGCACGAGAAGGTTGATGGAGTGAGATATGAGTTGCATGACATTTAGTGCGCTCGGAGTCAGCATTCTGTCTTAGGAGTTGCAAAACCATGTTGCATCACGGTGTAAGAGGGGGAAGCCCTGGTAATGCTTTGGAGCCCTTCCGCACCTCCGTGCCCATACCCATCACAAAACGCTTAGAAAACCCGCCACTTCTGTAGTATTGCGCACATCTGGATAATACGAAAAGTAAACATTATTTCAGGCTAACCTAACAGTGCGTTTTTTATGACATTTAGCAGCTTGGGAACACTTCGACTGTCTAAATTTGTTCATGTTGTGCTCTGGATATCCGTACTGCGCCAGTTACATCTTCGCGGTAGATTATTAAAATGCGGCAACGTGGTGTTGCTGATTAGCACGTAAATATGGCTGCACGCATTATCTCCACGGCTGAATCGTAGTACATAGCAACCCATATATAGTATTGTAGTGTAATGTGCATCGAAACTGGGGACACTAAATCAATATTACTTTCCGGAAACAGGAACGCGGGTGATTTAACAGCTGCATATTTGGAGACAAGTAACCCATTTAAAATAAGTATTCTGCGAAGCAAGGTAGCGTGCCACTTTTCCCCATTCTCCAAGCATTCGATTTCAGAAACTATACCAATCGTTGCCTAGAAAACTTTTTTAGACATTATGAAACCGATTACAGGCTTTTTACAGGTTCTCGTGCGCTTACCAGTTTCGTAACGTAAACGTACCACCTTACCTAGCCTTTAATTCAGACTTCTCAGCCCTTCAGCTCATCACTCGAGAACTGAAGAAAGGAAAAGCCTGAAGCCCTTGTTGATTGTGGCTCACACTGCTAAGCGCCACAGTACACATTGGTCTCATTGACCGGTTTACAGCGACCGACTTACTGCGTCGCAAGGATAAACATGTTCTCAGATGTCGAAATCAAGCAGCAAGTCTGCACACACATACACGGGCAATGTCAAAATGTGCACAGTTAGCAGCGTCTGCACTGTGCGTACTGTGCACTTCGCCAGCTACACACGACGCAAAACAAAAGTCGCCTTAACTGCAACGGCAAGGAAACTCCCTTATAAAACGAACCCTGATGTCCCCAATCGAAGGAAACTCGCAGCGCCCCACGCCCTGAGCATTGCCATCACCAGTGGAGGAACGCTTCAACAATGTCCGGAGCGATAGTAAAGGCCGTAAAAAGAAACTCCTCGCACCTTTCTAGTCTGACCGTGGTCCTTGAAACGTTCTTATCAACGCTATTTTTTATTCTACCTTGACCTTTTCCTTGATTCCTTCTGTGCATCTGAACTGATACGAGTCGCCAGCAGATGACGCTCAAACTATCCTCCAGAAATGGCCTGCCCCTGGCTCCCGACATGGCTGCCAGCGTGAGTCGTGGCTTTGTCTTTCAGCACACTACAAGTTCTACAGAGTCTATTCAGCACATTACAGCGTGCTACGCGGGCACAACTGGGCAAGCCAAGGCGGGCGCGTTAACTGTGCAGCACAATGATACTCAAGTCAGCCAGTTGCCGTGTCCTTCCTTCCGTGCGACATATTTTGTCGAGAGGAAAGATTGGTGTCTAGCTGTCTTGAAAACGCAATCTGTGAACGGTTCTTTTTTTTTCACTCACACGTTCACAGGAGTTTACGCTGTCTGAGCAGAACAGGCTTAACACGAATGGGAACCGTTTTATGAGTGAGTTGTAAAAAGTGCTGATTGACTGGTATGTGGGGTTTAATGTACCAGGAAAAAGTGCTGCGGGGCCCGTTTCAATGACTTCGTATTAACACGAAGCAAAGATAATAGATTAATGGCTTGTTTTTTTGCTTCCCAATGAAGCCAAGAAAGTATGGTGGATGTTATTTGCAGACTTTACCTGCAATGCACTTATTGTGCAATATTTAGTTAAAGCGACACGAACACGTCCACTACGAGCAGTGTACGATTTGTTTTACATTTTAATCATGAGGTTCTCGCGCTATGACATGGAACGCGATCATGTGGAGCATATGCACTCATTCGACGACTGTGTCGTTACACATATGGCAGTCTGATCGAGAAAGAAGTGATCAATCGTCGTTTACCAGCTCGTGGTCGATGTCGCAGAAAGTGAGGTGGGTGACATTCTTCTGCAGCGCGTTCACATCCACCTCGCGAGCCACCTGGTCCACGTCCACAGCCGCTGCATGAGGCGCGTAATGTTAAACAGGTTTGCCAACAAGAGTTGTATTACACTGCACAGGTATCAGCACCACCTCAAGTGGCGACAAGCAGCCCGCGAAGACTAGCCGTGACATGGTGCGAGCGAAGAAGTGCACGACTCGCGATGAAGAGGCCGCTCAAATGGAAACTTGTCGTAGTACCACACGGGATAGAATGCAGCGACTGCGGGCAGACCCGGATTACCGTGACGACGTTGCATAACAGTATGGCCAGAAAGACAAGTAAGGGTGAGTAGGGGTAAAGAAGGAGAGCAAGGGCACCAGCTACGCTCATCTCTCATTATTCGCACCAATAGTGCCTAGCGGCCCCAATTTATTATTATTATTATTATTATTATTATTATTATTATTATTATTATTATTATTATTATTATTATTATTATTATTATTATTATTATTATTATTATTATTATTATTATTATTATTATTATTATTATTATTATTATTATTATTATTATTATTACATTACATCAGCGTTATTTTATGTCTGCATTCTTTTTTCTTTTCATGTGCCTCTACGCTGAAGCCTTTAAGCTATTGAAAGCTGGTCAAGCTGCTTTAATGGAGCTCTTACTGCCGCTGCATTGAATGTACGACACCTGAAAGCGGAGATCGAATTCAGTTGGGATGCTACATCGTGCGTGCGCGTACTCAAGAGCTATGTTTATTAGATGGCTCGATCACTATGGTCCTGCAACGTGGTTTGACCATGCAACGCTTCATTTGCCGACAAGGCTTTAAGAATGAGCTGCTGGTCGAGGCGCGCGAATTTACTGCTCCATAAACGTGGTAATGCACCATCCGATTAGCTGTACACCGAATTGCAGTGTTGGTGTACTTGGTGACGGTGCAGCTTCACCGTGTCACTGCAACTCGGCTGCAGTGCAACATTATATCAGGAGGCAAACGAGAAAATCTGTAATTATTGGGCAATATCAAACCCTGAGGTGCGGAACTGCAGTCGAGAGAGGACTGAGCAAGCAAAACAATGAGAAGCGTGCACGTTAGCTACCAAAACAGTTTAGTCCCTAACAGAAAGACACATATACACGCAACATGGATGCCGCAAGTGGCGTGCAAAGTCCTTGACATGTACAGTTATAAGATGAGATGATAGTGAAACACTGTCTAAGGCACATCACGCTAGGTGAAATGCTTTTCTGGCGACATATCTGGTATCCCTACTACCTCATCTATGTAAATGCATCGCTTTATTCACCAACTAACTCACTTAAAAGTCATACTTGTCATTCTTTCACTTCCTTAGTAAATCGCTCTCTGAATGTCCACCCTCTAGCGCTTCGCGCTGCTCATTTTTCATCAGGAGGAATAACCAACTCGGGCTCATCGCCGCTCTTATTAGGTACAACAACGCACCGATCTTTCTCCAGTCGATCTTCTGGCAGCGGCTGTGGAACTGGAAGCCGTGCAGCGACACCACTGGCTGCACTGAGCCTTCAGCGTCAGACGCGGCCGGCTCCGGACACTGCTGCTGCATGCTGGTGTCCTGCAGTAGTCGGCCGGGCCGAAACCGTTACGTTGCATATTTAGCCTGGTTGATTCGGCACTCGAAGAGTAACAGAGCGAAAGGACAAAGCATAGAGAGGGAAAGACGGCAAAGCCGTTTTTGAAATCCGTTTTTCTATATACTTCTTTCCCTTTGCGTTGATTCGACATAAGCACATACCGGGAGTCGTTAACCGGAGAACATGCACAACCCGCTCGCCGAGGTCAAAGATGCCGCACATCACGTTCGGTGAGTTGGCATGACCGCATCCCGATAGATGGTGTCAAAAAGTCTGCTTATTTACATGTGCAGAACCTTGGCCTAGTTGGTTTTGGTAAGTGTTGTATTGGTTATCGAAAAAAAAGTAACTAAATATGTACTCATTACTCTGACAACAAAGAAACGCGTTATCATTACCGCTACCGAAAAAAAATGATAAACGTTACCTCTGCTCTTACTACACAATCATAAACATTGATCAATGTGTATTTCTTACAGGAACTCAAAATAAGCATTTCTCATTCCAAACTCATGTTTCACACAAAACTTTGAAACTTAAAAAGGATTACAATCAAAATGTCCATTCAAAGAGTATTATTTGTACAAATGTACCGGACCATAGCAATGTTATGGTGGTTTAAAGCTGCTTGTTACATGTGATGGCTTGTGACTCACTGGCACATGGTGAGGCCATTTTTCTCAATGGGACGATATACACATTATCAGATTCAATCATTCATGCTAGCCACAAGGAAAGCATTACTGATTCGCCACGGTGGTCTAAGGTACTTGGCTGCTGACCCGCCGGCCGCGGGATCGAATCTCGGCTGTGGCGGCTGCATTCTCGATGGAGGGGTAAATGCTGTAGGCCCGTGTGCTCATATTTGGGTGCACGTTAAAGAACCCCAGGTGGTCGAAATTTGCGGAACCCTTCACTACGGCGTCTCTCATAGTCATATGGTGGTTTTGGGACGTTAAACTGAACATATCAATCAAGGAAAGCATTACTGAACCATGAAGATATTTGCAGTATCGGCTTTTTTCGAGTCCCCACAGCCCCATACCATGGAGATTGTCGAAATCGAAACTGGTGGTTCTTGGCCTCTGAAATTGCCCGCTGCGCGCCAGCAGGCAGCCGTAGAGGCCTGCATTCGCGCTTTTTTTGTTTTTTAGGGGCGAAGCTCCTTAGGGCGTGGGCTGTGCGTCCCCTGTAGCCTGTATGTAGCCACCTCTAGTTTAGTTCTTGCAGTGTCCACTAGATGGCGGTACCGTCCCCTGTATGTAGCCACCTCTAGTTTAGTTCTTGCAGTGTTCACTAGATGGCGGTACCATCTCCTGTATGTAGCCACCTCTCGTTTAGTTCTTGTAGTGTTTACTAGATGGTGGTACTTGTAGCTGATGATGAAAAGATGCAAGATGTTATAAACTAGAAAGCGGTACTTGTAGTTGATGAAAGACGCGCGATCTTATAAAATAGGAATGATGTCACATATGGCGCGTGTCATTGGTTGAAAGCAATCGTTCGATTTAGTGCGGCGACGTACGCTAGGGGGAGCGTTGTAATAAAATCCGTTCTTCACTGCAAAGTACGAATCCTCAAAGTCACTTTTTAAGGAAAAAAATATATATATATTTTTTGGTTCATTAGGTATTACGGCTTGGTGACGCTTGCCACCGCCCGATCTGAAGGGTACAGCCATATCCATCCATCCATCCATCGTTCGCTGTTGGCACGCGCTCGGAGTCGCCGGATGGATACGGCTGCACAGCGGAGAGAGCGCAAGGCGGCAGCAGCGCGCGCTCGCAGACAGAATCCCGATGTGCGAGCGCGCGAGGCAAGGGACATCGCAAGCCATCCATCGTCTAAGAACAAATAAAAGTTGATTTGTGTATATACACACACTGCGTTTCTCACGTATTTACATGATGATCGACTGGGCGAATTACACGGAAGATTCACAGTTTACCGATGAATCCCTCCGGAGCTTCGCCCATTCATCATCATTCACCCCATGAATATGCCGTAATTTTTGTTTGGTGGGGTGGGGAGGGCATTCGCACGTATGTGAAACCAGACCCACTCCTGCCGTCTCGTTTAGCCACCAAATCTTATGGCGTGTGCCTCATTCACGGCGACGCGCATGCGCTGATGACCTACACAGAAAAGGGCTATTCTGACAACGCGTTGAAGAAAGGCTTTAGGGCTAAGTCACCGAAAAAAATATTGTGAGCACGACAAGCGAATGACTCTTCATTCTCTTTAAATATCATCATCACCTGTACATCTTCATCATCTGTAAATATCATCACCAGTGTGATTCAGCTCCAGCCTGGCTGAATAAACCAGTTCCACGCAAGTGGTGGAGGTGCGGGTTTCCTCACAATATATGTGCACAAACATTTCTCGTTCACATTAGCCTGCATAATTACCGCAAAATCTTGCCAGCTGTCATGTGAGTGTGTTCAAGAACAGCCACGCCTGCTCAAGACTTCAATAACCAAAAATGCAGGTACCACTAAAACGAAGTTGATAAGTCTTATCAATTTGGTAGCAACCATTTTGCCGCAATTAAAATAAAATCATCTATGTTTAGACAATATTCAGAAATAGTTTTCTTCGCTCTACAAGTTCCAAGCAATGTTCCTTCTCTCTTCGTTGTGCATATGTTTCATACTCAAGATGTCTTCTTCGTAACGCTAATATTTGTGTGTTACATCATAATGAACTTTCGAGAACTACTGGCGTTGAAATTAGTTCCTCCATGTTGAATACATTGAATATTTCTGCTTCGTAAATCATGCAGTAAAAAGCAAAGTGAGTTTCTTTTCAGGCTAGTAGGTGCTTGTTGGGCTCGAACTTCGTGCGTTCCCCGAATACCTTATGTTACCCACCCCGCGGCCTGCGACTCCTCGCCAACAAGGAAGCAGGGCCACCGGAATGCGGGACGATGACAGGCTGCAGGTGGCCGGTACACGTGGAAGGTACACGTGGAAGGTACATGTACGCGTCCGCCCGACAATCAGAATCAGCGGAGGTGACGGCATTGGCGCAAGGGCCAATTGTATTGATGGCCTGTCAGCCCGGCATCGCGGAAACTTACTCGGAGGCGCTTTTCCACGACCTGGCAACGCCCGTCGTCGACCATTCCGAGAACCGGTGTGAAAGAAACTTGAGCGACGGCGGAGAACCGATGAGTGGGCAAGAGGCGGTGGGTCTTCGAGGTTGTGGCGAGGAGAGACACATCTGTGCGTTCCGATTGGACTGTAAGAGTGGTGCGTTACGATTGGACTGCAAGAGTGGTTGAATGGGGAGACAGGGGATAAAACCAGGAGTGCAGGCACAGTGAAGGGGAGAGAAAAGAAAAACGAAACGAATAAACGTCTCTATATCCAGATGACGTCGGAGCGGTCGTTTCCGCAAGGAGCCAGCAGATGAAAAGTTCTCGTCTTCGGCTTCCTTGGCGGCAGCAGCAAATGTCGCGCAGCAAGCGAGAGGCGAGTAGAAAGAACCAAACGGAACGTAACTGGCGCAGTCGGCAGGATCTGCATGGCTGAACTGAGGAGGACAGCGGGGAGCGACATCGGTCGAGACTGACGACAACCACCTTCAACTGACTACCACGCTGCGGGATCAACGAAGCAAGGCTAGTCCACCAGATTCCGAGGAGGAAGAGCGCACCGCAAGGCTACTTCAGGCGGGTAGCTCTTGATTTTCTGTTGGGCGCAGGTGATGACAAAGCATTACAACTTGCGAGACAGAGAAAGGGACAACTCTGAAATGAACGGGGACGGGGCAGGAAACTTGCAGGCGTTCGGAGTCGCCGACAGCGGCACGGGGGGTCATGGTAGTGTCACGTCAGATACGGCGTCAGAACAGCAGCTATCACTGCTCCAGCTTCAATTAAAAATTGCTGAGGCAGAAACGGAGAAGCAGCGCTTGATGCTGGAAAGCCAGCGGCTACGAGCCCGTAATGGGGCAGAGTCCAACGAGAGCGATGACAGCGTAGTGCTTGGCGGAAGGTCAGAGGAGGACAGGCGACTGAAATTCGCAAGCTTGTTAAAGGGTGTACTGGCACCAATGCCGAACCAAGAGGCGCTTGCGCCAATGTGGTTCGAGGATGTTGAGGCAACGCTCGAGTCGTATGAAGTTCCGAGCGAATGGTGGGCCGGGCTAGTTTTGCCACAGTTGAGTGAAAGAGCACGCGGGCTGGTGTGCAGGCTTACAGCAGAGGAGCGAAAAGCTTATGTTAAGCTTAAGTCAAGAATTTTGGAGGGTCTCAGGCTTTCGGTGGCGGAGTACAAGAGGCTGTTTGCGGGATCGAAAAAGGGAGAAAGGGAGTCCTGGGATCAGTTTGCCGTACGCCTTCAGAATTATTTCGACTATTATGTCCAGAGTTCAAAGGTAGGCACATTCGAGGAACTCAAGCAGCTAGTCGTCGCGGATCGCTTGAAAGAATGTTTGAGTCCGGAAACTAGAGCGCACGTCATTTGTAATCAACAGAAGTCCTTTTTGCTGCCCAGTGGCGTGGCTAGGCTCGCGGAGAGATTCGAGGAGAGCGAAAAGTGCAAAGCAGCACAAAAGAAGGCAAATGTAGAGGAGTGGCAAAAGAAAGCTGCAACAGCGGTAGATACACACACGGACGGAAAAAGGAAAAGGCGATGTTTTGAGTGTAAGGGTGCCGAACACATTGCCAGGAATTGCCCCAATAAGGGCTCAGGTTCAAGGCAAGGCACTAGGCCAGCAGGACAAGAAAACGGTCCAGTAGTCGCAACGGTGACGGCTTCTGCATTCGGGTCAGAAATAGCAATGGCAAACAGGTTGTGGCAGCGCAAAGAGCACAAACAACCCTCACTGGATACTGTAACGCTTAAGAGCTCAGGTCGATCATTAAACGCCGTGGTAGACTCAGGAGCGGAGGTGAGCGTCATCAGAAAGGCAGTGGTACCTCAGTACGATGGTACGGGTTCGCAGATAAAGTTGACGGGAGCGTTCGGGCAACAGGTAACCGCTGAGTTGGCTTACGTGCCGCTCATAGCTACTGAAGGAAGTCCTTACGTGATGTCCGAGGCGGCGCAGTCGGCCGTGCTTTGTGCAATCACAGATAAGCTGCTAGACGGCACCGACGCGCTGATCACGCCCAACGATTACGCACAGCTTCTCGAGGAAAGGGTTAAACGTGACATAGTGTCAGACGAGTGTTCAGCAGTCGAGGAGACCGAAGCTATAGTAGAGCTGTCAGATGAGGCATGCGAGGAGCAACGGGCGATGGCAGGCGTCATAACCGCGGAGAGCAACAGCGAAGGTCCCGAGCCGGTCAAAAGCAAACGACACGAGTTTCGTGAGGCTCAGGAAGCAGACCCGGCTTTGCGAGATGCTTGGGCGCAGGCAAAGGCCGGAACGCATGGCATGCTCGTTCAAGCTGAGCTATTGTATCACCAGGAACACCTCGCGGGTCGCATCTGCAAACAGTTAGTGCTACCATCACACAGGCACAAAGAAGTGCTGAAAATGGCTCACGATTCACCATGGGCAGGTCATTTAGGAGAGCGGAAAACACTACAACGAGTAAAAAGCTCATTTTACTGGCCGCAGATGTCGCGAGATGTAAAGGAGTACTGTAGGTCATGCCAAGGATGCCAGGTGAAATCGCCGACGAAACAGATAAATAGGGTTCCCATTAAGCCCCTGGCCAGGCCCAGCGTGCCGTTTCAGACAGTAAACATGGACTGCATCGGTCCTATGGTACCCCCTTCGGCTAGAGGTCACCGCCATGCTCTTTGTGTCGTAGACTTACATAGCAGATGGCCAGAGGTGGTATGCCTCCGTTCAGTAACGGCAAAGGCTACATGTGACGCGTTACTGCAGATATTTTCTCATCACGGGGTGCCAGAGACAATTTGCTCAGATCAGGGCACCAAATTTACGTCAAGGTTGACACAGGAGATGTTGCAAAGACTGGGGGCAACACCGAGATTTTCCACGCCCGATCACCCGCAAAGCAACGGCTTAGTCGAGCGCTGGAACGGCACGTTGAAAAGAATGCTTTCTCACATAGTCAGTGAACATGGACGCGAGTGGGATAGAATGATTCCGTTTTTGTTATGGGCATATCGTGAGGTCCCACTTGCGACTACAGGGCGCTCACCGTTCGAGCTCATGTACGGGCGGGTGCCGAACGGGCCCCTATCCATTCTCAAAAGGACTTGGTCAGGAGACTGGGAAGTGCCGGAATCATTGGGTATGCCAGCAGCGGAATATCTTGCGAAGCTCCGAAGTAGTTTGGAAGAAGCTAGCGAAAGAGCCGCCCGACAGAGTGAAGTCACTCAGAAGGAGTACGTAGGACGCTATAACTTAAGGGCCACAGACAAACAGTTTGTCACAGGGGACCAAGTACTATGGCTCGAGAAGGAAGGAGAGGGGAAGCTAGTGGTGAAGTGGAAGGGATCGATCACAGCGGTCGAAAAACTGCGACCGTACAGTTATTTAGTTGAGCTCGAGGACGATTCACGCAGAACCATTCACGCTAACAAGCTTCGCGCATATCACGCCCGAGTAACTGCAGTAGGAGTGATATTCGAAGGCGATCCAGAGAAGGTCAGGGCGATAAAGGAGATTCCAGCTCCCGAAACAACGGGACAGCTTCGTAGTTTCTTAGGACTAGCCAACTATTATAGGGACTACGTGCCCGAGTACTCCAAAGTCGTTATGCCTCTGACTAACCTAACTGGCCGACGTATCCCACAGAAATTACCTTGGAATACAGAGGCGCAGGAAGCTTTTGACAAGGTGAAAAACTGTCTAGTGTAGGCGTCGGCATTGCAGGCACCAGACCCGGGGAAAGAATTTATCCTCGCCACAGATGCATCCAATTACGCCGTTGGTGCGTGCCTGGCACGGCAGGGTCCGGTGGGCAAGGAGCGCCCTATCGCTTTTCTGAGCAAGAAACTTAGCCCGGCTCAGACCCGATGGGCCACAATAGGAAAGGAAGCTTATGCAATCATTTGGGCACTGGGGAAGTTGGATGTTTGGCTGTTTGGCGCTAAAATCAAGGCGATTACCGATCATAACCCACTCAAATTTCTGACTCTAACCACTCCGTAGAGCGCTAGGCTGACACGCTGGGCGTTGGCACTACAAAAGTATAACCTGGAAATTGAACACAAAAAGGGGTGTCTAAACGCTAATGCCGACGCAATCTCGCCGTTAGTGACTCCTAATGATGACGCATAAAAGGGACGGCGAGTTAAGGGGGGTGTATGCTTTGTTAGCGCGTGCACGCGACAGAGTCAACGAGGTACGAGTGACAGTTGGTACATCACGTGTCGAGCCAGTGAACATGTGTGCATATGTGGTTGTGTTTGTGCCGCATGTCATAGATACAGTGCCACACAGTTGGAGGGGAGGTGTTGGGCTCGAACTTCGTGCGTTCCCCGAATACCTTATGTTACCCACCCCGCGGCCGGCGACTCCTCGCCAACAAGGAAGCAGGGCCACCGGAATGCGGGACGATGACTGTCTGCTGGCCACAAAGGACGCGACAACTCCCGTGCCCCTGTCGGGCTCAATTATGGCGCCTTACAGGAGACCAAGCCAGGCTGCAGGTGGCCGGTACACGTGGAAGGTACACGCGGAAGTTACACGTGGAAGGTACACGTACGCGTCCGCCGGACAATCAGAATCAGCGGAGGTCACAGCATTGGCGCAAGGGCCAATTGTATTGATGGCCTGTCAGCCCGGCATCGCGGGAACTTACTCGGAGGCGCTTTTCCACGACCTGGCAACGCCCGTCGTCGACCATTCCGGGAACCGGTGTGAAAGAAACCTGAGCGACGGCGGAGAACCGATGAGTGGGCAAGAGGCGGTGGGTCTTCGAGGTTGTGGTGAAGAGAGACACATCTGTGCGTTCCGATTGGACTGTAAGAGTGGTGCGTTACGATTGGACTGTAAGAGTGGTTGAATGGGGAGACAGGGGATAAAACCAGGGGTGCAGGGACAGTGAAGGGCAGAGAAAAGAAAAACGAAACGAATAAACGTCTCTATATCCAGATGATGTCGGAGCGGTCGTTTCCTCAAGGTGCCAGCAGATGAAAAGTTCTCGTCTTCGGCTTCCTTGGCGGCAGCAGCAAATGTCGCGCAGCAAGCGAGAGGCGAGTGGAAAGAACCAAACGTAACGTAACTGTGCTATATGCATGAAGTATCGAATACCGAGTCGAATTTCGAATGTCAATTTTCGGATTTGTGTCGATCTCTCGTGGAATTACCGGCTAGCGGCAGTGGCCTAGCCAAGGAATGGCACATCGGGCCCATGCCCCACCCCCTCTGATGTGTTTTTTTTTCGCTATGGCATATTTGTCTCCCCAGTTCCAACTTCAGCTCAAAGAGGTGCCCCCCTCAAATGTGTCTCCCCGGCCCCCACAAATTCAGCTCGAAGAGGTGCACCCCCCCCCCAAAAATGTTCTGCCAAAGCTCTTGCTTTGCGATAACCATGGTTAGGATACCAGAACTGGTTATGTCTGCCGTGTAGCTGCCTGTAACTGTTGTCAGCCATTGTGTTTGAGTGAAAGTGGTATCGGTGTAGTTTAGTTGAAACAGAGGGTAGCGAGAAGCCCAGCCAACTAAAGTGGGAGGAAAATAAAAACTTTTTTTTCCTTGCAAGGAAAAAAACGTGACGTTTTGCGCCTCACTAGCATTCTATTAAGAAATTTTATTCCCCGCCATAGGGTCACGCCTATTGTCCATGATGTGCGAAATTTTCTTTAGGCAGGTCCCATCGGTAGTGCAGCTAAAGTTACCCGCTGTCTCCTACATAGGCTAGGATTCCACAAAAGCCGCTTATAAGTGTTGGTGCGCTAAGTCTACGATGCCGAACTTGGCCAATTGGATGCGCGCCGGTCACGCTGTGCTCAGCGAGTCTACTCCTTATTCACTCGAACTTGCAGACGTCAGTTTTCTGTTGCCGCAGGCTCTCCAAGAAGTTCTTTGTTTTTCCTACGTATGAAGTGTATCACCCGCGGGTCGCGGGATCGTATCCCAGCTGCCTCGGCTGCATTTTCGATAGAGGTGAAATCGCTGTAGGCGCATGTGCTCATATTTGGGTGCACGTTAAAAAACACCAGGTGGTCTGAATTTCCGGAGGCCTCCACTACGGCGTCTCTCATAATCACATGGTGCTTTTGGGACATTGAACCCCACGTATCAATCAATCATCAATCAATCAAGCGAGTATTTGATTTCCTCACGGCCCCGTCCATCCCAGGCACTGCCTTGACAATGTCACACCAGTCATGATCGCGGCCATGCCTGTCCAAGGAACATTACCAGCGACGCAATGATGCGACTGCGAGACGACCACGAAGCCACACATTTGTTTTATGATGGCGAAGAAGCGGAGCACGAGGAGTTCGGTACCGCCGCGTCACGGCACCGACCGAGCACATTCGCGAAGCGTGGCTTCAAACGACCTTGTGGCGTGTGTACCTATATCACCGCGGCGATTCGGGCTCTAGGAGCGCAAAGGAATGTCCCCCACGTGAAAGCTTAGCATGCTAAAACTGCAGATAATAGCCACTTACCGTGGCCGGCGAGGCCAGCGCAGCGCTGACGGAATCTTCGGGCACGCGAGCGGGACCATTGCAGCCGTTGCCATGGTGACGCGTCGCTCGCACCGAGCGGAAGGCGTGCGCCCGAGCGCCGCCACCGGACATCGATTACTCGGCCCCTCAGTGCAGACAGCGTGGAATATTAAATGGGACGAGACGAAGAAGTGCTGTAATCTTTCGAGTGAAGATTTCGAAATGGTTAATTCATCTAGCACTTATTAAACGAATCAAATCGTACGAGTCAGTTCCTCGCTGTTGACATGCACCGTGGACACTGAGGGCCATGCTGAGGGCTGTAGCAGGCAGAAGAAGACAAAGAAGTTAGTGGTCTGCGGTTCCTATTTATTTTGAACGGCTGCATCACCTGCATGGCACCTCCATTACTCTACTTCAAATAGGAGAGTCGTTTGAATTTCTGTACTATAATAATATAATTGCATCTTCCTAAACACAACACGAAAAAATGAAAGCGACCCTATTGATCGTATTTAATTATATTTAATGCATGACGTGTTGTCGCGCTTCTATTTGATTTGGAACTCAAGAAAAGTTACCAATGATCAAACTTTTTGTTCATTAGGATGATAACAGTATGGGCAGTTTTAAGGGTCATTGAACAGACTGTTTCAAAAATATAAATAATAGAAGCACGTAAAGATAAAGTCAAGAATATACCGAATTTTTCACAGCTGCAGTAAATCCAAACCAAACTTTCAAAATACAAAAAAAGAAAGTACTATTAGTCACTTTATTGACGCTTTTTTTTTCTCTTTTTCTCCCTCAGAAGCCCAATCATACGTCAGATGGTAGGAAATATCTTCTGACCACAAGCCATGCAAAAAAAAATGAGTGAGTTAAGAGTACCTTAAAGAACTTCTAGTTGAAAAACGAGAGAGTAGTTTCTTTTCACCTTCCCGCTTTCGTCATCTCTTTGTCGTAATCTCTTCTTTCTTCATAGTACACGCGAACAATCTCAGAATTAGCATTGAGAAATTACGAGGATTTCCCGTTTTGTGGGCACCCGTGGTCATCTCCAGTTGAGCAGTCGAAAACGCGTAAAACGTAGTGAAGTATGTTGATTGCTTCCCTGAAACAATCGTGCGAAACAAGGCATGATGATGATACTGATGAAACAAGGCAATGATGATGATAATGGGGCGAAGTGTCCGTCATCGCGTTCATGCGTCCGTCCATCCGCTTCACCCCACTCGTCGTCATTCACCGCATGAATATTCTGCGACTTTTTTATGACATGTAAACGCACATGTCACAAAAACTTGTCATTAGGGTAGGGGTGAGTATGCTGAAATGCTAAGCGTGGACAGTCAAATTAACCGGTGTCGCTTTACTGAGAAAAAAATGCCCTCACCTCCCCGAAGGGAATCGTGAGGAAGTGCATTGCGTAGCATTCATAACGGCGTTTCGCACATGAGAACGCAGCGTTGAAAGAATAACAGCGCCGTTCGCTGCCCGTGACGTTTTTTTTTTTTTTTTTTTTTTTTTTGTCGCAAGAAACGCGGTATGCGTTTCCAGCTCTATAGTACCTAACGTGCACTGCTAAAAAATAGTATGAAGTGAACAAAACGAATAGCGTTCTCGGCTCAGCGTTGGCGTTTCCCAGCGGCGTCTCGAGCAGACATTTCTGGATGTTCTTGAGGGGCGCCCAGCCAGTGAACGCGGTCGAGAGTGAGGCACGAGCTGACAGAAAAGTGGGGTGCAGAGAGGAGAGCGAGTGAACAGCGAGAGAAGGGGCAGTGAACCACTGCACCTAACCTCTCCTACACTCTCTGTGCCGTGCTCCCAACCGGCTTGCAGAAATTATGTGCCTCTTCTCACCTTCTAACCACTACCACCACATGCTCCTGTTGCTAGGGGCGAGGATAAGCGCGCGCGCCCGGCGCTGATCAGAGGGAGCGGCGCTGCTGGCACTAGCCCATCCTAAGCCTGCTGACGTTGGCCGTTAGGGGCACGCAAAAGAATGGCAGCATATCCACGGAGTGAATGATGGAGAGTGGGGCGAAGAATTCGTCCGTCCATTCGTTCTTGCTTTCGTCCGTCCATGCGTCCGTCAGTGTGATCGTCCATGCATCCATCAGCCCGTCCGTACGTGCGTTCGTCCATGCAGCCGCCCCTGCGTCCGTTCATGCGTCCATCCATGCATCTGTCCATGTGTCCGTTCGTCCATCTATTCAACACTCCAAGTACCACCATCTCGCATATTTTCATCATATATTTCCTATATAGAATCACCGCCATCCAGCGGACATTCTAAGGACTAAACGAGAGGGGGCACACGCACACCTTCTTACGGCTTGCACTTCGGGTCCACTTCCCACCTTTAACCACCTCGAGTTCATGGTATATACTAGTTCACTGTATTCATGGCACTGCGGCCGAACGCTCGCTAAACCTTTCAAAAACCAAGGAGGTTACATTCAGCGAGTATGACGTAGCAAACTTTTTCAGTCAGATAGTGCTCAATGTACATGCCAATGGCTGCTAATGGGAAATGAGAGGCGGAGAATTCGGCTTTTACTTTCTTACGGCTTGTGCTTCGTATCTACTTGCCATTTTTAACCACCTCGAGTTCATTCATGGTATATACAAGTTCATTGTATTCATGGCACTGCGGCTCAACGCTCGCTAAACCTTTCTAAAGCTAAGGAGGTTACACCCAGCGAGTATAACGTAGCAACCCATTCTTGTCAGATAGTGCTCAATGTACATGCCAATGGCTGTTAATGGTGATCGCAGCCTGCGCGTTAACTAAAAGCCGAATGTTCCTGTCTCTCATTCCTCATTAGCAGCCATTGACATGTACATTGAGCACTATTTTTTATTGTTCAACAACGAACGCACAGGAGAAGTCTCTCACCGGCACCACCTTGGAGGTCAAAATGTTATACTTGTTACGCACTACGGGGGACGATCTAGTGCCGCTATAAGGAGCTTGTATACCTGCTGCAATCCGCTCACTTACGCTGGCAGGGAGACGTGGGCATCGCGTTCTATTTTGAGTGACCCAACCTATTATTGCATTTTTTCTCCGCTAGGCACTGTGTTCTGGCACTGCAGTCACACGGGGAAACTTGACTGAACGGTGTCTATAGAATGTGGTCCCGGATCATCTTATTAAATGCGAAGCATTTCCTAGCGAACTTCGGTGACCTTGAGCGTCTATCTATCTATCTAGCCGCCTGCGACTTTTAGCTCTCCTGGCCGTTTCGATAATGGTATCGATACCAAACTTGGTATGGCATAACATGGCTATATGAAGAACATATTTGAGTAGCCATAACATGAAAATCATGACATGAATGTCATTGATTGATTTGTGGGATTTAACGTCCCAAAACCACGATATGATTATGAGAGACGCCGTAGTGGAGGGCTCCGAAAATTTTGACCACCTGGGGTTCTTTAACGTGCACCCAAATCTGAGCACACGGGCCTACAACGTTTCCGCCTCCATAGGAAATGCAGCCGCCGCAGCTGGGATTCGAACCCGCGCCCTGCGGGTCAGCAGCCGAGTACCTTAGCTACTAGACCACCGCGGCGGGGCGACATGAATGTCATAATATCGTCATTTACATTTCATGGTCCTGCAGCTCTTGCGGTGGTTTCGTTCACATGGATGTTGCAAAACTGATATGATATGACATAATTGCATGGTGAACACAAGCGACAGACCCTAACATGAAAGTAATGACATGCGTGTCATGGAGCAACATGACTGCATGCCACGCTCATGATGCGCTCGCGGCCGTTTCACTCGCGTCGCATATACCAACTTTGTTATTAGAGTACAGGAATGGCTGACGAAGGTATGTGACTGATGCAAACATGATAATCATGATATGCGTGTCATGCAACAACATGACATGTAACGCTCATAATGAGCTGGCAGCCATCTTGCTAGCTTCACATGTACCAAACTCGGTATTACGCAACGCGAACGGACGACATAGGTAAGTGACGCATCCAAACAGCATAATCACGACATACGTACCATATAACAACATGACTATGTGCCACACTGTTAATGCGCTTGCGCCTGTTTCACTAGTTTCACATATGCCAATGTGGTATTACGTGACGCCAATGGATGACGAAGATATGCGACTGGTGCAAACATGATAATCATGAGATGCGTGACATGTGAGAACATGACTACATGCCACAGTCAAGGCGCCAATACATTTCGACGTGACGCGGTGCGCGTGCTCATCGGCGTTCATTTTGTCGCGTCACGCTGGCGTTGCCACGCCAGGCGCTGATCCTGCCATATACTCGCAGCCGCTCCGCGTTGTGTTGCTTTGACGCATGCGCGTTTCAGCGCGTCCGGCATTCCTCCGTCATGAAAAGAGGGAGACGCAGTATTGTCTGGGTAACGCATCGGCACAAAATGCAGCATGTCGCATTTCGCGCAGGTTGCCATCGGGCCACGCTGACGGACGCTCGTAGCGCCTGGTGTCAGAGTGCTCGCGTTTTGCTACCGTAGCATCGCTGGGCCCAGCGTGCGCGCGCATGAACGCTACATTGGAGTAATTTGGGCCCTTCATGACGCGCTTGCGGCCGTTTTGCTAGCTCCACATATAACAAATTTGGTGTTACGTGATGTCAATAGATGACGAAATATATTATTGGTGCAAACATGATTATTTTGACAAGCGTGTCATATAAGATCATCACAACATATGACGCTCATAGCATGCTCGCGGCCGTTTTGCTAGCTCCACATTCACTAAATTTGGTAACACGTGACGTGAATAGCTGTCGAAGGTAAACTACGTGTGACGTATGAAGTGATCGTTGGTAGAAGCAGGAGGTCCGCTAGGGGGCCAGGCAAGGCTGACGTGCCTCGCATGGGCTCCGTATTCTACGAAGTTTTTGTCGAACCAAGACTGCTTTTTTGGTGCCAACAGTGGTCTCTCTTGAACTTCAGCAAGTTGCCGACGCTGCTGGTGAGTGCCTCAAACCTCTTTGTTCTTGAGGAGCTTTGCAAACATCAACTCTTGCTGAGTGGGGGAACGCCGCCTCGTTAACCCTAACGCCACCGGCACCGGCGTCGGGCTCGCGCTTCGACGCGCGTGCACAAGTTCATT